ACCCCTCCCTCACTAGGTTCTAAGACCCTGCTGCTAGAAGGTTCCCATTCTAAGTTTCTGATTCTGAATGAATGACCAGGATGGCTCAGTCCCTGTGTATTAACAGTCCGCTTTTTGAGCATTTCCACTTCAATAAAAGGGTTAGGGTCAGAGGTTTGGAGTTACCCGAGTCCTCTCTCCCTCTCTCAGCCCACAAGCAATCCGTCAGGAAACCTTGTCAGTTCCCTCTTCAAAACACATCAACAAGCAGACCACATCTGACCTCCTCACCGCACACATCCGGGTCTAACCCTGTCACCTACCTCCTGGGTCATTCCCCCCAGGGAGAATGGCAATTGCACAATCTGTTCCCATAGCAGCCAGAGGGGTCCTGTTAGAAGCCACAGCAGATCCAGCCCCTCCTCCCCTCAGAAACAAAAAGCTTTACAGTGGCCCACAAGGCCCCACGTGGCCTGAGCTCTTTCTGACCTCATCTGCCACCCTCTCCCCTTGGCTCACTCTGCTCCAGCCACACTGGCCTCCTCCCTGTCGCTCAAACTTGTCAGGCAGTCCCACCTCAGGGACTCTGCACGTACTGTTCCCTGATCCTGGGAAGCTCGCTTCCTTCAGGTCTCTACCACTCTAACGATAATAAAACTTTATTTTTCCTCTAGCACCTGATGTATCTTCTCCACTAGAGTATCAGTGCCAGGAGGCAGGGATCTTCGTACTGTGTCTTGTTTTCTGCGGCGTCCCTAGAACCTAGCACAGTGCCCAGCATACCCCAGGAGCTCCAAGAATGTGCTGAATGAATAAATGAGATAAGGATGGGAAATCAACAGTATCCTAGGTCACACAGGCTAAGGTTGAGTAGAAGCTTGGGATTTTTCTTGAGGGCAATGGGGAGCCATAGAGTGTTAGAGTCAGGGGGAAACAAGGTTAGGTTTGGGCTTTAGAAAGAAAGAGACCTCTGAATGGAGTGGGGCTGGGACCCAGGGGAAGAAGAAGCACCTGGACCAGTGTAGGGGGTGGAGGACGAACTGGACCGGAACACATTCAGGTGTTGGAATGGTTGGGAAGACATCAATGCTGACAGGCTGTGGAGTGAGGGGACAGGGTGTGGGCCGATACCCTGATGTTTTTCGTTTCAGGTGGAGTCAGGGGAAATACAGCCAAGAGGATAGCTGGCCTGCTGGGCGTGTGCCCATGCTCTGACCTTGGCCGGGACATGGCCAGCCCCACATCGGGGGAGAGTGGCCATGGAAACCATGGGAACACTGGCTTCCCTGAGGATGTCGGACTGCTGACAGCTTCATGAGGTGTCAGCTGGCTCCCCAGACACACTTCCTTTCTCTGTGGCCTGGCCTACAGGCTTCCTATGGTGGCAGAGTGGGGCACATCGTATAAGCCAGGGGCAAACTTTGTGGGGGGAGACACAGAGCCTGAGACCCTGAGTTCCAGGGAAGGGTAGATCAAGGCAGAGAGGAGGGGACACAGTGACTTATGGAACCCTGGAGGGCGAAGGTGCTAGGGTTCTGGCCTTCAGGGTCTGAGACTGGGCTCCTACTTGGCTGGCTCCACAGGGCTTGGCTTACTCCCTCCGGACTTAGAAAGCCCCAGGGTGACCCACCCCTCCCACAGGGCGCGTCCAGATTCCAGCAGGCCCTACCTAGAAGGCTAGCATGTGCGCTCTGAGCACTGGCTTCAGCTGCTGCCTCAGCCACCTCGTTAATTAATTAATTGCATTAATCACAGTGCCCACCCCCACATCGGACATCCGGGAGATAGTCTGGGAGGTGAACATTAGTCAGGATACGCGGCTGTATGGCTCAGCCTGGGTCTCTGCACCTGCCTGCCCTTTCCGCAGCGGCTTGACACCCCGTGTCTCCATCATAGGCACCATCGATTTCAGAACATTTTCACTAACCCAAGATACCCACATTCCTTAGCTGTTCCCATATTCTCTCCTCTGTATCTCTGACATCTGTGGTCCCAGTATTCCTAGCTCTGGGTCTTCTAGTCTCTGGAATCTGGCTGTGCATGGATTCCCTGGGTCTCAAATCGCTCCAGGTTTTCTGGTCCACATCCTCAGGGTCTCTGTTTGTCTGTCTAAGACCCTGGGATCTCCCTTCCTCCTGGGTCTCCCCATGTCTCTTCACATCTCTGACATACTTTTTTCTGCCTTGGCCATCACTAGGTCCCCTTTTCTCCTCCCCCTCCTGCTTCATTTCTCTGTTATCTCAGTGACATTAAAAATGTAACAGCATCCCAGGCGGGGGCAGGGGAGCTGGCCTGCATGCCCAACTCCCTGTCCCTCCCATGTCCATCACTCCCTGTGGCCCCCACACATTGCTGGCCTTGAGGAGCCTGTGCCCTGACCTCTCAGTGCCATACCATCGCCATCAGTCACAAAGGGGTTCTTTTGGTCTCCCTGCCTATCACCAAACTTCTAAGTCTTTCTCCTTAGATTATTTTGCCTTTTTCCTGGGGTCTCTGTCCAGCTCCCTTCCCCCTGCCTTTCTCTGTCCCACCCAGTGCTCTTCTGCCCAATCCTTTCCCCTGTCTCTTGGCCCCATTCCTGTGTCTCTAACCCCATCCTTAAATCTGTGTCTGTTGCCTTCCCTCTGTTGGTTTCTGTCCCCATCCCTGGATCTTCCTCTTTTCCATGCATCCCTCTCCTCTCCCCAGTGTGTGAGCAGATGCACCCCCTTTGCCAGTCTCCCTTCCCTAATGAGAAGAGACAGCAGGCCTGTAGTCCCCTCTGCTCCCATCCCCCTCCACGACTGTGGGGCGGCCTGGCTGACAAGGATGGGCAGTGAAAGCTGGGCGGACTGGGGAGGGAGCAGACCCAGCAGGAGGCCCAGGCAGCACCCTCATTCCTGCAGGCCAAGGGGAAGGAAACAGGTAAACAGAGACGGGAAGAAAGGAGACAGCGAGATGGAGAGAAAGGAAGACAGAAAGAACTCTGAGATGAAGACAGATGAGGGACAGAGCACAGAGAAATGAAGTGGGGAAGAGAGGGAGAGAAAAGAAGGAAAGAAGGGGAGAGGGAGAGAAAGGGAAGGAGGGAGAGGAACAGAGAGAGAAAGATAGCAGTGGGCAAAGGCACAAGGATAAAGGGTCAAGAAAGGGGAAAAGGCTCCCTCCCCAGGTGCTAAGAGCTTTCACAAGGGATCAGTGGGACCTCTGAATCCTCGCAGTGGCCCTGATAGGAAGGAATGTGATCCATTTTACAAAGGAGGAAATGGAGGCTTGGGGGCACTTTCTGGAGCCCACCCAGTAGAGCAGGGCCAAGAAAGGCTCTGAAGTCTGAAGTCTGGCTTCTCAGGGTGGGGCTGGCTGTGGAGCCTGGGAGGGTGGCTTGCCCTTTCTAAGCCTTATTTCCTCATCTGCAAAATGGAAACAGGAGCAAAACCTGTCTCCTAGGCCGATCTAGAGCATTCCATGAGATTCAGCACCAAGTCAAGGCCGGCCTCAAAGTCTGAGCATTTCCCCAGAAGGGAGAGGCAGGGAATGGAAAAGGCAGTACCCAGCTCAGGTCAAGGCTGGGAGACAACTCAGAGACATGCTGGGGAAAATGAGGTTAGAGAGGTGACTCAAGGTTCCTCCAAGATCGCCTTGGGCAAAACCCTCAGGAAACCCTGAATTGAGAGCGTCTAAATGGGAATAAAAAGAGCCGGGTCACCAGCAAGGGGCGGGGCCACAGCCGGCTTCACCTGTTTCCTCCCAGCCCCGCCCTTCCCAGGGGGCCTCGCCCCTCCCCCACCGGGGCTGGGGGTGGGAAACCGGAGGGGGCTGCGGGGCTAAGCAGAGGGAGGTTCGGGGGATTAGGGCGGCGTCTCCTCGCTTCCACCTCCCGCAGAGGCTCGGAGGACAAAGGCGCTACGAGAGGAAAGATAAGGTCCCGAAACTCAGGAGTCCGGAACCGGGAGCCAGGAGAGTGCCCGCCGGTATCGGCTCCGGCTCAGTGAAAGTGAAACCGGATAAACTTTCTCAGGAACGTCCCTGACGACCGCTCACAAAAAAGGAAAAATTCCCAGCCTGGGAGACTCGGCCTCTTATCCCACCTCCCAGTCCGCCCAGCCGACCGAACCTCCAGCTTCCAAACAACCCCTGGCCCTCGATTAAATCTAGAACCCCAAAGGCAGGGCCCCTGCCCATATTCATATTTGGACCTGAGGACACCTATAGCCCCCAATGAAATCTGAAGCCCACGATCTAGGGCCTCTTGCACACCCCGATTCTACCTGGGGACCAGAAGACAGAGTCCCCTGCTCATAATTAATCTGGAACCCACAGATTCGAGCTCCTGCCCCCAGTTTTACCAGAACACAGTAGACATAGCCCCTAGCCTTCATTCTACCTGGGATCCAGGAGACCGGCCCCCAGCCCCTAATTTTTCTGGAGCCCGGGAGTCAGAGGCTTCAGCTCCCTGAGGCCCCTCCCCAGGTCGCCCCAACTCTCATCCTCGTCTCCCGAAGGGACCGAAAGTAGAGCTCCCCACCCCTCTGGAGGACCTCCACATCTGGCCCCCAGCCCTCAACACTCCCCGGGCCTCAGAGGCCCAACCCTGGGAAAACAAAAATGGGGGGCGGGGGGATGTCTCGCCTCGTCCTCGCGACCCTCCCGCTGGGGGGGAGTGGGAGACATTCCTGAGGGGGGAAGCGGAGACGGATATCCAGACCCAGATTAACTGAACCGCGCGGGGTGGGGACGGGGCGAGCGGCCTCGGATTTAACCCGTTCGGCGTCCGTCTGGGGAAGGGTCGGGGTAACGGAAGTCCGGCATAGGTGGGGGAGTGGGGATTAGGATGAGAGGGAGGCAGAGAGGTAAGGGTCGGAGTCTCAGAGAGAGAATGGGGTGTGTGGGGTCGGAGCCGGTGGGGCCAGTCGGGAGAGGGCGCGAGAGACGGGGGCTCGGTGAACTGGGGGAGGGGTGGGGAAAGGTGCTCCGGCTCCCCCACTCAGGAGGTGGGGAGGGGTTGGGTCCGCGCGGGGAGGGGGGCGTCTACGGTCTCTCACCGGTTTCTCGGAGCAGCAGCAGCAGCAGCAGCAGCGACAGCAGCGGCAGTGTCGGCGACGACCTCGACAGCGGGAGGGCTGCGGCCCGGGCCATCGGGGGCCCGGGGAGCGACTGGGGACGCGCGGGAGCCTGTGGGCCACTCTGCGTGTACCAATCGTCTGGGCGAGCCAGCGGGTGCCTGGGGGGCTCCGGCTCCCGGCCGGTTCCCGCTGCGTTCTTCTCTCCCGGCTTTGATCTCCGTCTCGGCTCTCCCAGCTCCTTGCCCCCGGCCCCTAGCTTCTTTCGAGCTGTTCGGACTCGCTGACGTCACAGGACCCACCCCCTTCCCTATCCCCCCCTGCCAAGCCATCTTGGGCTCCGGCCCCGCCCCCTCCTGGGATTCCATGTAGTCCCTCCCCGGGATTCTAGCGCCCGGCCCTCCCCGCTTTCCCCGCCCCTTCCCATGATTCTACACGCCCTGCCCTCCGGCATTCGGTGCCCGCCCCCTTCCGAGATTCTACACCTGCCACTCCCCAGGATTCCTTGTTCGCCCCCTCCGGGATTCTATGCTCGCCCATCCCCCAGACCTCCCTCTACCCTCGCTAGTGTTCAAGGCCCACCCGTTGAGTTCTCATCGCGCCCCTTCTCCTGGGGAGCCCCACCCCCCACCCCGAGCCTCATTTCCTGTCCACTGGCGGCTCCACTAAGGTCACGCCGTGCCCACTTCGGAGCTCACGGCCGTCTCCGTGCCCCGCCCCAACTCCGCGATGCCACGCCCCCGCCCATCCTCTCTGGGTTGGTTCTTCTCCCGAAGAGCCGGACGCCCAGCCCCAGCCCCATCGAAAGCTCTAAACCCGCCTTCTTCTCAGTTAGTCCCCGCCCTCTTGTCACACCTGCGTGAGGCAGGTGGCTTCTCATAGGCTCGCCCCTCTGAAGCCCCGCCCTCGCGCCAAGATCCCACCTGCATCCTGCCTCTCGGTTTCTGTTCTCGCCCCTCTCGGTGGGTCGGTTTCGCGTTTGGGGGCTTCTCAGCGTATCCTCTTGTCTTTCTCATTTTTAGTTCGGACTCTGGGAGTCGCTGCATCGTTTCTTTCTAGGTTTCTGTTTCTCTTAGTGCGTCTTTGTGTCTCACTATCTTTGGGTCTCCTCCATCTCTATATTTCTCTGTCTCTGAGCCTTTCATTTCTAACGTATTGGTGTCTCTTTGTGTTTCTGGACTCTCTTTGTCTTTCTGCCATTGTTCATGTTTCACTTGGTCCCCGTGTCTCTTTCCATCCCTTTGACTCTGTCTCTGTGTCTGTGTCTCTGCCTCGGTGTCTCTGTCTCTTTCAATGCCTTTCTCTGCCCCTGTCTCTGTGTGTGTCACTGTGTCTTTCTTTCAGCGTCTCTGGTTTTTCTCTGTGTCTCCTTCGATGTCTCTGCCCCGGTCTCTGTTTTCTGTTCCTCCCTCGGTGCATCTCCCAGTCCTCCTACGTCTGGTCCGCACCGCCTCCTTACTGCGCCCGCCCGCCAGGGGGCAGCACAGACCGGCCCCCGCGCTTTTCTTTCTCTGCTGAACTGGGCTAGGGTCCGGCCTGCAGACACTGCCTGCCCCTCCCCGTGTCCTTGTCCCACTTCTCTATCTTCCCAGCCTCCTCGCGTCTTCGTGTCTCTCGCTGTGACTCTGCCCCTTTGTCTCTCTCTGGCGGCTCCTGCTCCTCGTCAACCCCACCTACCTCTTCACATTCCTTGGGCTGCCCGCAGGAGCTGGTGAGGCCTCCTAGAGTGTCGGGTGAGAGCGGGAAGCAGGAGGGCGAGGGAGGGGGTGCCACTGAGCGCCTGCAACCCCTCCGTTCCAGTTTCTCCAGGGCGAGGAGGCGCTAAGCTGATTGGCTGGGAGCAGACACTTGGGAGCTTCCTAGCAAAGAGGACCCCTTAGACTTGCCCTCCTCCGCCACCCGCCATACACCTGAACTTTCCTCCCAGAAGGGCAAGGTCTCAAGTACTGGAGACTCTTTTTGACCAGTATTCAAGTCTTGGTATTAATACTATTAATAAATGTATTTGGCACTTACTATGTGCCAGCTACTGGTTTGTGTACTCAGTCCATATAACCCATGCAGCACCCTAAGTGATAAGAAAATTGAGGCACAGAGAGATGAAGTGACTTAGCCCAAAGTTACAGAGTTACAAACTGGCAGATCCAGAACTGACTGACTTCTCTTTGTTAATTTCTCACAAGAGCCCCTTGAAGGTGACACTCTCATGATCCCCATTTCACTGAAAGGTACACCGAGCACACAGTGGTTATTCGCCCCCAAGCTACCCACCAAGGAAGTGCAGCCTGGGACCTCCAGATAATGTGTATCTCAGGCTTGGCATAACCTGGTATGAGGTCGGCTGGACAAGTAGGTGCATAATAAATGTGCTCTAGATCTTTCTGTCCTTCTCTCCCCAGTCGGGGGCCAGGACTGTACCAGCGAGACGACGACGAGACTTCAGTCCCTGTCTTCTTGAAACATAAAATTCAGTCAAGAGACAGAGTGCAGCAAAGCAAGCAAGAATTTATTGTCCGCAGCAAAAGCACGCTGAGGACAGTGAAACAAGGAAGGGCCCAGCGTAGAAGCAACAGGAGAGCCCAGGCGGGGCTGCTTTGGCTCAGTGGGAAGTCAGAGAAAAAGGGGCCTTGGGGACAGGTTCAGGGGGTTAGCCCAGGCCCAGCTGGTCCCCTGGTAGCAAGTCTCAGAGGATCTCTTAGAGTTTAGGAGCTATGTCCTATGGGGGAAGGAAATGGCTGGAGGCGCAGGCTCCCCAGAGGGAGAGCACAGTGCTGGGTCCTTTGTCTTGAGAGTTTATTTCCGCTCTTGCAGGTGGGAATCTCAGGGGAGGTCTCGGGAGGGTTCCAGCAGAATATTCATCAGTTTTCCAGGTGTGCTCTTTCAGGGACCTGGTCTCTACTGATTGGTCAGCACCAGGGCGGGGCGGAGGGGAGTGTCATTAGTCAATGCAGCCGGTCCTGAGGCAGTGTGGCTTTGCTTGCCTGGTGTTGCTTCTTTTCTGGGCTTGGAGCTGCAGTACAACTGAGGCCTAGATGTTGTCTTTAGGGAGGAAAAGTCAGGGGGTCAAACTGCATAACCAGCGATATGAAAGGGGAGGAAAAGTTATTCTGAGGGTGAGGTCCTTGTTTTCCCAGCTGTGCCCCCTCGCTAGGCACCCGGGGCCCATCGTCCTTGCTCTGCTCATGTCTGTCTAACTGCCTACCACAGGGTCCCTAGGTTTGAGTGCCAGCTTTGCTACTAACTTGCTTTGTAAAATTCTTGGCCCCCGTTTCTCCCTTGAGCAAAATAACTAGTTTCCAAGAGTTTTCTTCCAGGAAGGCCCCCTTGGACCCAGTCTCCTCCTGGCTCAGCTCCCCTGGCTGTTCTTTGTGGGCACAGGTGAGCCCAGGAGGCAAGCCTCAGGAGGGTAGGCTGGAGTTTCACTCCCCCCCACCCCCCCAGCTCGCATGTATAAAGCCGAATACTGCTATGTTTGTTGATAAAGGACTGGGTGGGTCTCATGCCTAGGGAGCCAACTTCCAGTATCAACAAATCAAGGCATGGCAGGCACTGAAGAGTCATAACCACGAGGATGTTGGGGCACAGGGCCAAAGGCCTCCTGAAGGAGCTGTGGAGTTGGTGCCAAGTTGTAGATATGTGCAAATGTGTACTGCACAGGTCAGCGCCCGTAACCCCCATGTTGTCTAAGGGTCGACTGTATTTTACCAGCCCAGCAACCTCTTTCCCTGTTTCAGTTCCCCTTCTGCAGTCCCTCCAGTTTTGTTATTGGATGATTTTTTTTTTTTGGTACGTGCCCCTAGCGGGAACCGAACTCGGGACTTGCTGGTCCGCAGGCAAACGCTTCAACTGCTGAGCCAAACCGGTCAGGGCCAATTTTCTTATTGGGAATCCCTACACTCAGTCCTTATGGTTCAGAGTGAGCCTGATCCAGTCCTGGCCAATCAGAGCATTTGATCCCCTGGCCACAAGGATTGGTCCAGGGTTGAGGGTGTAGGACCCATTCCTCACCAATGAGAATTAGCCCTGAGGCTTTTGCTAGAACTAGTAGGAAAGGGACACCCCCTTTTAGAAGGGGTTTGCTAAGTTGGTAGGGTAGAAATTTGGTCCTATGGAGGGTACTGGAGACGAAAGATCCTGCCTGTGCATGGAGAACAGTAGAGCTGAGAAATGGAAAAGGACAGCTTTCTGATGACTTTTTGAGCCCCTGGATCCAGCTATGCCTGAAGGTAGTCAGCCTTTGATATTCCTGGTTTTATGAGTGAATAACTTTTCCTTTTCACTTACACAAATTTCTCTCTCTCTCTTTTTTTCTCTGTCATTTGCAACCAAACATATTCTTTTTTAAAAAAATTTTTTTCCCTTTATTGATTTTAGAGAGAGAGGAAGAGAGAGGGAAAGAGAGATAGAAACATCGATGAGAGAGAACATCAATTGGCCGCCTCCTGCATGCCCCCTACTGGGGATCAGGCCCACAACCTGGGCATGTGTCCTGATCGGGAATTGAACCAGCAACCTCTTGGTGCCTGGGTCGACGCTCAACCACTGAGCCATACTGGCTGGGCATCCAAACATATTCTTACTAATAAAATCTATAGAAGTTCAGAAGAGGTACAGACTCTTGTAAAGTTCCAAGGGCAGGGAAAGGGGAGGGAACACTTTTCAGAATCCTTCAAGATGCGCAAGCTTTGAAGCACAGGCAAACTTTGCTACAGCAGGGGAAAACGGCGAGGGCATTCCAGGTGAGGGGAATGGTAAAGTCACAAAGGCACGAGGTGGGGACATATGTGAGAGAGGGAGAAGTGGATGCGTATGCGGAGCAACATCTTAGAAGGTCCTGAATGCCAGGTGGCTCATGCTCCTGAGAGCAATAGGGAGCCACAGAAGGCTGATGAGCAAGGGGAGTCTACTCTAAATTTGCCTTTACTTCCTGGAGCCCCAGATCCTGTAGTTTACCCCTCCCCCTCTCCCCTCTCCCCAGACCCTCAGCCAAGGTGGAAGTAGGGGTTAGACTGAGGAGGGCTCAGGCTGCCATCTGCATGCAAATTTCCTGGGATGCTATGCAGATGAGGAACCAAATGCAAATGTATGCCCTCCTGGGAGGAGAGCCAGGACCTTCCCTTCATTAACTTGAGGATCAGGTGCTGAAGGAGAACCCCTTCCTCCCTGGAGTCCCCTTTCTCCCCTTCCTCCAGACATCTGTTCACTACCCCTCCAGCTCCCCAAATCCCCTCTCACCAATGTCTGCTCTTAGAATGGGATCCCTCACCACCTGGTCCCTTCCCTGGAACAAGGGACCCTATTTTGCTTTTCTCTCTGTCCTTCCTTTACCTTTGGATACTACTACTACTACTACTAAACATGTACTGAGCACATACTCTGTGCCAGGCTTTGTATTAAACACTTTCCACTGTTGTCTCATCAAATTCTCCCAATCACACTATGACCCTCTGTGTGTGTCTATATATATATATATATATATATATATTTTAAAGAAGATTCAATTCTGTCATAGAGAAAACAATAAAGCCACACAACAGAGACATGAAACAAGGACGGATATTAAGAAGCAACTCATGAGGCCTGTTAGACATGTTAAGAATGTGAGCTAAACATGGGAAGGATGGGAGGATCCAGTAGCCCCGGGTTCCACGAGTCCTTAAGGTGCTTCCCTGTTGGTGACCCCAGCTCTGTTCCATGGTCCTGTGCCCAAGTCATGCAGGTCAAAACCAGGCGCATTTATCCCTGGCGTGACCCTGGCACCTTCCAGGTGCAGAACCCTGTGCCTCACCTTTCACTCTGGGGGTCGAAATCATACCATGGAGTGACAGAGATGGACACAAAGCCGTGCACACCCCGAAACTCAGGTGGCTAGGACCTTTGATCACTTGTGCCCCGAACTAAGTGTGTTAACCTGGCTCATCTCTTTTTGCTTCTTGCATTTGTCTTAAACTGATTTGAATGCCTGAATCAGACTGGTGAGCTCTTCTGTTCCGGGACCTCAGGGCAGGCTGCTCTATCACCTACCAGGAGGTTTCCATGGCCTCTCATCAGTTTCCGGTGGCCCCAAGATTCCACTTTGTCCATTTGGTGGCTGAGCAAACAGAACAGTGAGGTGAAGTCACTTGATGCGATGAGACGCTTCTGAGCGTGGAGACCTCCCCGTGTGTGCATTGCGCAGGGATGGTCACCCGCGCTCCTCCCCGCAGCTTTCCACGGGCCCAAGTGTGATTTATTGCCATTTGGTGGGCTCGGGGTCACACACGCCCACCTCCACCATTGCTTCTGGGCAGCTTTGAACATTTTTTCTGACCATTATTATCTCCTTGCATCCCCATTCTTTCTGTTTCTCTGGGTCTCTTTTTGACGGTCTCTGCTTCTTCCGAACTCTTTCTGTCTGTCTGACTCTAGGGCTCTCTCTGAGCTGCCCCAGTCCATCCCTGCTCTGCCCCACACCCAGGTCTTTCTGCCCCTCCTCCGAACTCCTCCTCTACCTCAGGGAGTCTCTCGAGCTGGCCTGGCTGTCCCTGGTCTCTTCTCCCTGATGAAGGTCCCTCCGTGTGGGTCCCTCCAGGCCAGCCCTCCTCCCCCAGCTGCAGGAATGAGGTTATACCCAGAGGAGGCAGCACTATCTCTAATTCCATGCATTCTACCCTCGGAGAGTTTTTCCTTTTACAGCTTCAATTCCCTCTGGGGCACGGGCAAGAGAGCCTAGGAACTTTTACTTAAGGGGACAGCACCCCACTCGCCAAGCAGGCACTGGTCTTCAGGGGCCATGCCCAGCGCCCTCTGGACCCCAGGCATCTCTCTCGTCCATCCTGGGCCAGCCGGGTCAGCCTCTGCTCTCTCTCATTTCTCTCTCCACGACGTCAGATATCTCCCAGGTCTTCCAGGGGCGGAGGGGCAGCAGGGAGGGAGCATCACCTGTACTCCATCCTGTCTCATCCCCCAGAGGCTCTGGTCACAAGAAGGTGTCGACGTGACAGACAGCATTTATTCCAGACTCCAGTGTCCATGATGAGGGGGCGGAGCAGGGGTGGGGATCCAGTGTCAGACTATGCAGCAGGACGTCAGGTGGGGGGACCAGCAATGGAGGCCGGAGGTAAAAATAGCCTCGGCCAGCCGACCCTCGGAGCCTTGTCCCAGGCCAGGCCCTGGGCTTGGGTCCAGAAGCTATTCTGGGGCCTGGGAGAGTCATACTCCCTGGAGGAAGGCTCCCTCCCACCCATGAGCGTACCCTCCCCGCCTCCCTCCCAGCAGTGTCTGTAGGTCCCTGCCCTGCCGGCAGAGGAAGGAAGGGAGGGCCAGAGGGAAGAGGGAAGGCCGGGAAAAGGCGGGGGCGGGCAAGGCGTGAGCAGGGCTGGTTCTCTGATGCCGCAACTCCAGGTTGGGTCCAATGACTGTCTCTTGGAGGTCCTCAGGCTTAGCACTGGGGGGAAGATGGAGAGGTCAGCCTGTGCGCAGGGAGGCTGCTCCACCCTCAATGGGTCCCCTTCTCACCAGGGTGCCCAGGCCCTCACCCACCTCATCTCCAAAGCCCCCACTGCCACGCTTGGCTCCTCCAGAGGCACCTCCCAGAAGGCCTGTCTGCTCTGGCCTCTGGGACCCCGAGTGGCTCAGCTCTGGTTCCCCAGCTGGCCTGGGGAGAAGAGGCAGGATGGTGAAGGTGGTCCCTCCTGGCTGGGGAAGGAACTGGGGATGGGGTTGTGTTGGATGGAGATAGTCTTGGAGGGCGGGTGGGAATGGGGTAGGGGTGGGAACGGGGTAGGGATGGTCATGGCATTGGGGTTAGGGATGAGTAGGGTCAGAGATGCTGCTGGAGTTGGAGATGGTATTGTAGTTGGGGTCAGTTCTGGAGGTGGGTTTGGGATGGCTATGGATTGGAGTTGAGGGTGACCGTGTGGCTGGGGTTGGAGGTGAGGTTAAATGGGGATGGTTGGGTTGGGGGGGACCGGGGGATGGGGATATAGTTGGTGCTGGTTATGAGTTGGAGCTGAGATGTGGTTGGGGAGAGGTTGGGATTGGGGAAGAAGTTGGAGTTCCTGAGTTCAGGGAGTTAGGGGTGTGGTTAGGTTTGAGATGGGCCGATTATGTCGAGGTTGAGGATGGGGATACGGTTGGGGTTGGAGAGGCGGTTAGAGGGGATGGGTTTGGAGATGAGGGGAGGATTGGGACTGGAGATGGGGTTGGAGGTGGGGATGAGGGTGAGATGAGGGTTGGAGAGGAGACTGGGGTGCATATGGGGTTAAGTTGGGTTTGATGATGGTTGTTAGGGTTGGGATTGGAGGAGGGGATGAGATTAGGGTTGGAGAGATTAGGGGTGGGGTTAATTTGGGCTTGGGGTGGTTCTGAGGACGGTATGGGCTGGATGGGGTTGCTGTAGTTGGTGATGAAGATGCGGGGAGGACGGCTATGCACTAGGTTTGAGGTTGGGGATGGGACTGCATTGCATTTGGGTTTGGGTTGAGGACAGGATGCGAGTGGGGTTGGTCGCGGGCTGGGTTTGGGGCCGAGGTCAGACCTAGGGATGGGGTTGGGTTACAGAGGTCAGTTCTGAGGTTGCAAGACCACTCACGGAGCCCCCTTTTCCCTCTTGCGGCAGCAGCCGGGGCGCCCCTTGCGTCTCATGCAGTAGAAGGCAGCAACGACCAGAAGCAGGATGCCCACGCTGATGGCCACGGCCATGACAACTATCCCCGCCTGGGAGGCCTCGGGGGCCACTGCGGGCGAGACAGAGGAGGAGGAGCTTGGCCCGCGGCTCCCCCTGCCCCGTGGCTCCTGGCCCACCACCACGGTTACTCACGGGGGCCGAAGTGGAAGACGTGGTGGGTGCTCCCATGGAGGTTGGAGGCCTCACAGGAGACGCCATTTTGGCTCATGGCGTTGGTCACCTTCAGGGTCAGGGAGCTGCTCACCCAGCCCTGCCCTCCGGGGACCGGCTCTGTGGACTGTGGAGACTTGGGTCAGGCCCAGCCCATAGGCTCAAGGGCTGGGGTGAGGGCAGAGGTGATGTCCATTCCCTCAGGGAGTAGGAGAGGGGACACAGTGAGGGAGCAGCGTCCCCTGGGGGTTTGGGTAGGACACCTGGGTCCCAGAGGGTTCGGGGTGGAGGGGAGGGTCCCTTACACTGTCACCCTTTGCGCTCCAGGTGAGTTTGGGCTCTGGGTAGCCGCGGGCAGAGCAGACCAGCTTGACTTCATCTCCTTCTCTCCAGCTGCCCTGTGCCCTCTGAGTCTCCTCATGCCTCAACTCGGGGGACCCTGTGGGTGGCGAGGACGCAGGGAGTGAGCAGGAGGCACACTGGGGAAAGAAGAGAACAGGAAAGAGAAGCGGGTGCAGAGGACTAGAGTAGGAGACAGAGTGACCAGCCATGGTCCCTGCCCGCTGGCCCTGGCCCCCCACTCCTCGTCCCCATCCCAGCCTGCCCCTACCCCCAAACCTTCGACCAGCAGCTTGAGGTTCTGGGTGCGACTGAGGAGGGGCACGGTGGGCATGTAGGCCTCACATATGTAGGTGCCAGCCGAATCGAAGGTGACGGAGCTGAGTGAGAGTGTGGGGCCATCCACCAGGGGCACCGAGTCCTGCAGGGCAGGGCAGGGCAGGGCAGGGGGTGAGAGGCCAGGTGAGAGAAGGGGAGGAGGTGATGAGGGAGCGGGTCCCACGGCGGGGGTCTTCCTTCCCTCTCACCTTGGTCCAGCGTAGAGCAGGGGCCGGCAGGCCTTGCACGGAGCAGGACGTGGCTACTTTGCTGCCCAAGAGTAAGGAGAGTTCTTCCCCGTCGCTGAGCTCAATGGGGTCCAGGTCTGAAGGAGGGTACAGACTGTCACCTTCCCACACCCTCACCAAGTTGGTTAGGGGCACTCGAGGGCTTTTGCGGGTGCAGCCATGAATGCACCCTAGTCAGCAGGGAATGCCAAGCGTTCTTCCTCATTCTCCTTATCTCCATGAATTCTCCACCCTGCCATCCAGGCCAAGTTTTGAACCCACATCGGGGAGTCTAACTCTAAAGGCCGCGCCCACCTGGACCACTTTCCTCCAGCGCTGACGTCTGGGCCAAGGTCAATGGGAAACCTTGCAGGTGTGAAGTGTTCCTCTCACTTACCATCTAAACCCTTTGCTCACGCCCAGATCTTTGCCTTCTCCTCCCCACTGCCCATTCATTCATCAGGTCCTCCTCTGTTTTGCCCTCAAAATGGACCCTTCCACTTCTGTCCATCTCTGGACACCAGTCCAACGACCACGACCACTGCAGTCACTTCCTCACCGGCCTCCCTGCTGGGCACGACTCTGGTTCTCTCAACGGCACAACTAGAGGGGTCTTTTCAAAACACACTGGTCAGCCCTTCCCTCTGCTTAAAATCCTTCAGTGGTTCCCCAGTACCCCTGGCATAGAGGCCAAATTCCTTGACAAAGCCAAAAGACCCTGCCTGGTCTGACCCCCGCCCACCTCTTCAATCTCATCTCCCGCCCTCCTTCCTTGCTCCCTGAGCTCCAGCTACCCTGCTCTCTTCCTGTTTTTCTCTAGTACACCAAGTTGGGTCCTGCCTCAGGACCTTTGCACTTGCTGTTCCCTCTACCTGGAGTGCTCTTCTTCTGGCTCTTTGCATTTCTGCTTCCATTCTATGGTTTCTTACTCAAATGTCCTCTTCTCAGAGAGGCTTCCCTAACCCCCTAGTGTGCACACTCAGATCTCCCCTTCAGCTGTTGAGGGCTATCAGCTGTCAGCCCTCAGCTGTCAGCCCTTTCTGGGAACTGCCTCAGCTGCAGGGAGCCCCTCGCTCAAGGTCATGCCCCCTTCCTCAGGCAGCCAAACAGCCAATGACTGGTTGATGGGGGGAGGGTACAAAAGCCAGGCCCCTTCACCCCATCTGGGATCATCCCAGTTTCCAAGTGCCCTGTGGGGCCAACCAAGGCCTCCTTAGAATGCAGCCTCACTTTTTCCTCTGCCCCGTCCTGCTTCCTTCTCCTCCCCACCGTTAGTAGAGTAGATGCCAAGGCACTCCCCATACACTTCCTGCCTGCAAATCTCCAAGTCAGAATCTGCTTCCTGGGGATGCAGCCTGTCAACACCCCCCCCCCCAACTATTCCTTGCTTGCCCAGCCAATTCCTTATTCATCGTTCTGCATTAGTCCCTGCAGATGTAGGATTGCTACCCCAAAGTGTCTCGTTGAGCGTTTGCCATATGTCACCCCTACCGGGCCGGGAGCTCTGTGAAAGTGGGGACTGGTGTGTCGCCAACATGTGGCACAGGATCTGGAGACGAAAGGACTGCCGAGGAGGAGCAGAGCCTTTGCACAGGGCTTGGGGGGCTAGTGGACTGAGAAGGCTTTTTGGAAAATGGGGACCCAAGAGACTGGTCAGGAGTGGATGGCAGAAGGCTGAGGAGTTATCATGGGAATGAGAGACATGTGGGTGTGATGAGGATAATGCCTTGGTGGGGAAAAGGGTCACCCACAGGTGACACCAAACAGGCGGGCCTCGAAGGCCGTGGTGCGGTACCTGGGCCTTCCCAGAGGCCACTGGGGAGCCACTGGAGCAGGAGAAGGTCAGGTTTGTGCTTTGGAAAGGGCTCTCCAGCTGCCTGGTGTGGGAGTTTGGAGGGGGCTGGGACAGGGTCCTCAGGGAGGCCTCTGGACCAAAGCAGGGACTGTAAATTTGCATGCAGGACTGGGGGTGAAGGGATGTGGGCTGCCAGCGCCAGGACCCCCCTCCAGGCTCCCCCAGGGCGCTCACAGGCCACGCGCAGCTCCAGGGTCTTGGAGAGCTCAGCGTCCTCTGCGGCGTCATAGTCTTCGACCCTGCAGCCGTAGGTTCCGCTCTGGCCGCGCTGCACGCTCTCCAGGGTCAAGTTCCCCTCGAGGTCTGTTTTCAGCACTTCCTCCTTGTCCTGGGTGACCAGGGATGAGGAACCCGGCTCAGAAGGCACCCTGGTCAGGAGCCTCTCCGTCAGAGCCAGGCATCTTGAGAGGTCAGGGGCTCCAGGTTAGTGTCGTGTCGGGTCAGAGCCCACTCAAGTAAGGGGCAGAGGTCTGGCTAGGCCAGAGGTCTCCCAGGCCAGGTGTTGCGCTAAGTCAGGACTCTCGCAAACCAGGGGCCAGAAGTCCTGTTAGCTCCTGGCTAGGTTCCTTGCTAAGCCAGGGCCACCAGGGAAGATGTTAGACATTGGTGCAGGTCAGTGTGTCACGGAGGTCGGTGGGTCACCTGAAGGCGGTAGAACGTGTACTCCGGCATGGGGCTGCCGTCCCCACGGCAGATCAGCTGGACGGAGTCGCCCTCACGGACCCAGCCGTCTGTGGTGGACGGGCTGTCCACCCAGAACTGCACGTGCTCCGTGGGATCTAAGGGGAAGGGCAGTGGGGACAGGTCAGTGTGAGATCCGGGGACCCACTTCGGTACAGGGAGATGCAGTACAACGTGTGGTCGTTAAGCTCCGTGGAGTTTAGAGTGCTCTGCGGGGCTCGGAAGTCAGGTGGGGCTCGTACTACTCCTTGAGGTCACATTTCAGCATAAGGTAGGGGATGGAGGGCCAGGCTGTGGGGCCAAGGTCGGGGCGTCGGGCCAGTGTGGACTCACAGTGCAGGGTGAGGCTGAAGGCAGGGCTGTCCAGGCGGCCATACCGGCCCTGGGGCAGGCTGTAGTTCGCTGAGCAGTGGAAGCTGGCGTCCCGGTCCTCCTTGTGCAGCCGCAGGTAGAGGGTGCTGGTGAGAGACTGCAGGCCAGAGGCCTCTCGCACTGTGCGGCTGGTCATGTAGCTGTCTGGGGGAGAGGGGGTGAGGGGGGCCGTCAGCCAGCCTCGACCACCACCCCACCCACCCCCATCCAGCTGGGCTCCTGCCGCTCACTTGAGTTCACCTCCATGGGCACCTGCAGGGGCTGCCCATTCCGGTACCACTGGATCTGGGGGGCTGGGTTCCCGTTGCGGCTTTGGCAGGTGGCGATCTGAGGCAGACACGGGCATGGCCCTGGGCTTGGAGCCAGGACTCTGAACTCTGGTTCCCCTGTTCCCTCAGAAGTTCTCCCCACTCAGATCCAGGATTCTGGGCTCCCAGCCTCTCCTCCCCCGGGATGCAGGAGTCTGGCACCCCTGCCCCCTCCAATCTTACGACCCATGATTCTAGGCCTCCCCAACCCTCTGTTCCCTTAGGACCCTGGAATCAAAGTCAGTCCGAGGTACCTCCTGGGCAATGTCATCCATCACAGACAGAGTCCCTCTGTTGGGGGAGACGTCGGTGGTCTCTGGTTTTGCTATGGGGGAGATGTTACTGTCAGGACCCCCTTCCCGGGCTCTTCCCTGCCCCACACCCTTCCTCGGGGTGTCCACAGACACTCACCAAATACCTGGAGCCTCACGGTGGCCTCTGCGGTGCTCGCTGCCCCTGTCGTCACCACACACACATAGTCCCGCTGGTCGCTCACCTGGGCCTCCGCCAGCACCAGGCGCCCCTGGCCTTCCAGCTCGTATGGGGGGCTGCGGTTCGCAGGGTTGTGCACCTTGGGCTGGATCTTAGAGCCCTGCACTTGGACCTCTGCCAGGAGCGTCCGGGCCCCAGAGCGGGCCCCAGAGCGTTCGGTCTGTGGGTGGGGAGGGCCTCAGCTTGGGGCTGCCCAGCCACCCTTCTCGGCGTCTCTCTCTTTCCATGTCCCTGTCTTTCTGCTGCTCTGTGGCTCTGTCTCTTCTTGTTTTCTCTCTCTGGCCCCTCTGGCCCTCTCCACTCCCTCCTGCCCCTGTTTCTTATCTGCCGTCACATTTTCCTTTCTCTGGCTCCCTCTTTCTCCACCTTCCTCTGTTCCCATCTCCCTCTTCCACCCTGTCCCTCTGCTTCTTAACCCGAGGCTTGCTTTCTTGGTGTCAGTCTCTGGATGTTCTCTCTCTCCAGCCAGCACTTTGGAGGACTAGCCTCAGCTGGGCGCAGACACCAGCGGAACCTGAATGCCTTGTCTTTGCTGGGCCTCGATTTCCCCAGCTGTCAATGGAAAGGCAGCTAGGTGGCGCTCTTAGGGCCCTTCAGATTCTGATAAAGGAATGAATGTTTGCAGCCTCACTGGGCCCTGACTTTCAGACCCCCCTTCCATGACCCCCTGGTCCCCAGCCCGAAGCTCTCACCAGGAACCATTTCAGCTGGAACTGGTTATTGACCCCCAAAGGGGTGCAGTCCAGGGTGGCGGGCTCCCCCTTCATCACCTCCACCAGGGGGGGCACAGACACCTGCATCTCAGCCTGGCCACCTGCAGGAGAGCAATTGAGCTCTTGCCCACTGCCACCAATAGGGAGAGCACTCCAGACAGAGCCCCTCTTTCCCCAGGACAAAGGAGTCCAGGCCCCCAGCCCTCCTCACTCAGACCAGGAGTCCGGGCCCCCAGCCCTCCTCCCTCAGACCCAGGAGTCCAGGCCCCCAGCCCTCCTCCCTCAGACCAGGAGTCCGGGCCCCAGCCCTCCTCCCTCAGACCAGGAGTCCAGGCCCCCCAGCCCTCCTCCCTCAGACCCAGGGGTCCGGGCCCCCAGCCCTCCTCCCTCAGACCCAGGGGTCTGGGCCCCCAGCCCTCCTCCCTCAGACCCAGGAGTCCAGGCCCCCAGCCCTCCTCCCTCAGACCAGGAGTCCGGCCCCCCAGCCCTCCTCTCTCAGACCCAGGGGTCCGGGCCCCCAGCCCTCCTCCCTCAGACCCAGGAGTCCAGGCCCCCAGCACCTCCTCCCTCAGACCAGGAGTCCAGGCCTCCAGCCCTCCTCCCTCAGACCCAGGAGTCCAGGCCCCCAGCCCTCCTCCCTCAGACCCAGGGGTCCAGGCTCCCAACCCTCCTCCCTCAGACCCAGGAGTCCAGGCCCCCAGTCCCTCCTCCCTTAGACTCAGCAGCTCCTGTTTCCTCCATCTCTCACATCAGTGTCTCTGAACTCAGACCCTATCAGCATTTCTCTCCATCTCTGCCTTCACTTGCAGAATTAAAGACTCCTCCCTTGGGCCACACAGGGGCCTAGTGGCCCCCATTCCATCCTCGGGGGTAACACTGCACCTGTCCCTGCTTTTCCCACTAGACCAAACACTCTTTAAGGGCAGGGCCAGGGCTGGCTCATCCCTTTGCCTCCAGCACCCTGTGTAGGGCCTGGCACACAGTGACATGGGCTAAATGTCTCCATCTCTGCCTGTGTGTCTCTCATCCTGGGGCTCCATCTCTTGGTTCTACCGTCTCTGCCTCTCTCCATCTCTCTCAGCCTCTTGGCCTCTCCCTCATGAGTGGGGGGCTGAGGGGGGCTGTGGGCTGTGGCAGGCCCTGGAGCTGAGGTAGGATGGGTGTGTGGGGGTGGTGAGGGGGGACAGGGCTGGGCAGGTTTCAGGAATGTGGGAGGGACGGGCTGGCTCAGGCATGCCCGGCCTGGTGCCAGAGCCCCCTACTCCCCCGGAGGCCCCCCTGCCTCTTTGAAGAGTGGGGAAAAATAAGGGGGGAAAAGGAGTAAGGTGTGTCACCTCGGGACAGGACAGGATTGAGGCCCTGCATCCTGGATCCTGGGGTGAAGGGAGCTGGGGGCCCAGGTTCCTGGTCTGAGGGAAGAGGGAGCTGGGGGCCTGAACTCCTGGTCTGAGGGAGGAAGGACTGAGGGTCTGCACTTTTGGGTCCTGGGGGAGTAGGAGGTTGGGCCTGGAGTCTTGTCCCAAGATCCTGGCAGATAGAGCCGCTCTCATCAAGAAACATGCTCTCTCACCCTCTGGGCTGGCGCCCTGGCATCAGCTCTCAGTTCTTAGAACCTCCCTTCCCTTCCCCGCCCAGCCTGGCCCATCCCTGCCCCCTGGAGACCTACTATTTGCCATGCTTTGCCAGGGGCCTGGACTCCCAGGCACCCACCTCTGGCCCAGGCCTGTCCCAGAGGAGGGAGCGTGGGGGCCAGGCTGCTGCCTGGGGCTGGGGCTGAGCAGCAGAGAGCAAGGGCTGACAGAAGGATCACCCTCTCTTCCCCGTCCCTCTGTCCCTCTCCTCTCTGTCCTTCTGCTGCCAGCCCTCAGGGCCTCCTCCCCGCCCACCACCACGCAGGTGTGTGCATTAATCTGGGGCCCTGGGAAGGGGGCACTGTCACTTGGAGACACTTTGTTCCACTGTCACTGTGCAGGCTGGAGCCCGAGGGAGGTGAGGGAGGCGGGCTCTTTAGCGTCTGGGCCCTGAAACCCTCAAATGCCTGTGACTGACTGGTTTCTAGCCATAGGGTCCCGGCCCTCTCAAAACTTGAGACTCTTACAGGAGGGTAACCCTGCGCTTTTGGTCTCCTGGGTCCTGGAGGAAGCTATTCCAGCCACTGGAGGCCTGGACCCCTAGGTCTGAGGGAGCAGGGGTCCCAGGACCCAGATCCAGGGGCTGAGAGAGGAAGGGGCGGAGGGCCCGCTCCTATGTTTGAATGTGGAGGGGGCCCTGACTTCTCAGGTGGTCTCTAAACCACTGCTGTGGTGTATCCAGCTCCTCCGTCTGGCTGTCCCCTGATCTCTCGTTGGGAGGGACGCGCCCCACGCTCCCAGATCCCACCTTCCCGCGGTCCCCAGGTTTGGTTTCCTGGGCTGGGGAAAATTCCCTTTCCCCTTCAGTCCCTGGGGAACCCCAGAAGCCGTCCCTCATCGAGCTCTGCTCTGGGCCCGAGCATACCTGGGAGCGCCCCCAGCAGGAGCAGCGGTACCAGCACCAGCAGCCGCGGGGCCCTGCGCATCTCGGCCCGGGCGTCCCGGGGCTCCATGTCCACAGCGGTGGCTGCAGCAACTAAGCCCCAGCTGCGGTTGGGCGGTCGCTGCCAGGCTGGGAGGAGGAGGCCCCGCCCCAAGCCCCGCCCCGCCCCGCCCTCCCGGCCCCCCTGGTCCCCCCAAACCTGGGCTCAGGGCCAGGACCTCCCACTGCCGGGAGAGGACCTCCCAGCACTCTGCCCCCAGCGGTGCTCCCTCTGCCCGTAGCCCCAGGCTGTCGCCCTTGCTGACCCGCACCCCAGCAGCACCCCAGCACCCGAGGCTCTTGGCTTGCCCGACCAGTCCAGCCAGTGTGCTTTCAGCTCGGACCTTGCCATACCACCGCTCCCCCTCCTGCCCAGGGGCCTTGTGTGTTTGACCCAGCTGACCCCAGCACAACCAGCAGCGCCCAGCCTGACCAGTGGCCTAGAACTGCTTCTCCCAGTATGCCCCGGGAGGCCCTCTCTTGTGGCCAGTGCTCCAAGCTGCTTTCCTGTCTGACCGCTGGCTTGGAACCCTTCAGTTTAATCTCATATTTAATGATCTCCAGGGTGGGTGAGTGAGCGCCTCTCACTTTGGCTCTCCCCAGTAGGGCCTTGTCTCTCTTCCCCCATCCAGGGAATCCCAGGAATGCCGCCCTCCTTCTTCCCTCCCTCTTCCCTTCACTCCCTCGCACCTAGGGCGGAGGGGAGGAGAAGCGGGCTGGCAGCAGCAGGTGAGGGGAGAGGGGAGAGGGGAGGGGGGCGGGCACCTGAGGGAAGGGGAAGGAGCAGGCCTCTGGGTCAGGAGGAGATCACTGGCCACACTGAGGATCACCGCTTGGAGCGCCCAGGTTCCTCACGAGCCAGGCCTGATAGGGACAAAATCCCGACTGCTGCCTGAGCAGTTGAGGGTCAGGTGAGGTCACTGGTTACCAGGGAGAAATTAAGCCCTGGGTAGTGGTCAGAATGGGGGGATTCACTGGTAAGACTGGGCTTTGCCCATCAGACACAGAAGGAAGGCTCAGGTTACAGGTCCACCTGGGAGTCAGACTGGGCAAAGCTCCTTTATCCATCAGTGATACAGAAGAGCAATTGTTAAACCAGCAGAGGTGACCTTTCAGTATCTGCCGCACCATTCCCTCCTCCAGGACGTCCTCCCTAATTTCCAGTAACATCCCCCCACCTCGGCTGGGTCAGGTGTCCCCTCTGGGCTCCCAAAGCCCCTAGAGCTCCCCATCCGCAGTCCTGCACACTGGGTCGTCCCTATCTAGGGACAGGCCGCCCCACCCCCACTGGACTGTGAGTTCATGAGGGTAAGGCCCAGAACCTTCTTGGGCACTGTTGCGTCCCCAGCAGAGCAGGCACTCAGGTAAGGTTTGCAAGACTCAAACTCAGGAGCGCACAGGCTCCTGCGCAGACCCCACTTGAACTGGATGATAGAAACTCACTCGTGGACAAATGCAGTCGCACTCCCAGACAACCTCACACATTGTGACCCCAGACACCCAGTTCCCAGCACTTCTGCCCTGGCCTGGGCACCTACTGCTTGGGCTGGACCCTGACCTCATCAGCCAGCCCCTTCCACTTTTCCTTAAGAACCCAACCAGTTGAGGTTCTAGGCCAGGGGGGTCTGGGATGGAGTGTGTTTGAAGGACCAAAGTTATAAATACTAGGCACAGCCCCGGCAGACTTGCAGGAACTAGTACCATGACATCATGTGTATTTGTCCCCTATAATTTATTCCCACAAAACAGCCATTAAAGTGTGAATCAACTCACATAGCTCTTGTCTGAGACTCCTCCCCTGACTCCTTTCACTGAGTAAAAGCAGTTCCCACTTCCCAGCTCACAGGCCCTCGATCTGGTCCTTGGTACCTCCCTGACCCCCTCTTCCTCTCTCTTACCACTTGCTAGCTCTGCTTTTGCCATATTGCTCTCTTGGTTTCGATGCAGTTCCTCCACCGCTAGGCATGTTCCAGCCTCAGGGCCTTTGCACTTGCTTTTCCTGCTGCCGGGACATTCTTTTCCCATATAATTGCTTCAAATCTCTAGTCAACATCATCTGTCAAATAGCTTCCCTTGATCTCCTTACCTAAAATAGCAATTCCTGCTTTCCCAGCCACTCCTTATTCCCCTCATTTTGCATTTTTCTTCCACAGCACTTACCAGGGCCACATACTTTTGTGGCTCCAAGTGTTTTTTTTCACCACTTTTTCTCCAGTGCCTAGGACAGTGTTTGGCGTGAGGAGCTGAGCAAAAATTCAATAAATTAACTTTCCAGTTCCATCTGTGTTGTCTCATGTGCATGTGCTTATACATTTTAAGGAACAAGCCTTATCTTTTCTCCACCTTTATCCATTATTTTACACGTGTGACAGTTAACTTTTTTTTTTTTTAATCCTCACCCAAGGATATTTTTCTATTTATCTTCAGATAGAGTGGGAAGGAGAGAGAGGGAGAGAAAGGGAGAAAGGGAGAAACACCCACATGAGAGACCCATCAACTGGTTGCCTCCTGCATCACCCGGACCAGGGCTGGGGATGAACTGCAACTGAGGTACGTGCCCTTGGCCGGAACTGAACCCGGGACTCATTGGTCCACAGGCTGACGCTCTACCGCTGAGCCAAACCGGCCAGGGCTGTGACGATGAACTTTATTGTTTTTTTCTTTTTTCTTTTTTTGTGACAATTAACTTTAAAACTAGTTCACAGCTGGTGGAATACAGCATCATGACACATTTCAAAGCTGACAGCTGTTTCCCAATGATTCCAGACTGGCATCTGGAAAATTGACTGCTGAGAATTTGTGTTGTCTTGGGGGGCAGTATGAATGCATTCTTGGTTGGACAAGAGTTAGTTGTTTAGGGAGTTTAGATAAGAATAGAATGGAAACATAGAACAAAGGGTACACATTGATATTGAGTGTTCAAAGGGGTGGACTGTAGTGGACTTGGGGTGGTGATTAGCTAGTATCTGCACCCTCCCTTCCCACAGTTAGAATAAATCCTTGCTGTCTGAAAGCCCGTTGCCCTCTGTTGAAGCCAACAGGGATGCGTTTGCCTTTCTGCATCTGTTGGTGCTAAGGTGACCTTGGCAAATCCTACTCTACTTGGGAATCAGGAGCCAATCATATCCAAGAAGCAGAGACTGGCGAATCTATTCCCACCATGGCAGCTGGGACAAATTCTATTTTCTGAAGATGGCTGCAACTGTATCTCTCATCCTACCTGCTATTCTTTTCTTTTCTTTTCTTTTCTTTTCTTTTCTTTTCTTTTCTTTTCTTTTCTTTTCTTTTCTTTTCTTTCCTTTCCTTTCCTTTCCTTTCCTTTCCTTTCCTTTTCTTTTCTTTTTTCTCTTCCCTTCCATTCCCTTCCTTTCCCTTCCCTTTCTTTTCTTTCTTAAATCCTCACCTGAGGATATTTTTCCATTTATTTGCAGATGGAGTGGGAAGGAGGGAGGGAGGGAGGGAGGGAGGGAGAGAGAGAAAGAGAGAGAGAGAGAGAGAGAGAGAGAGAGAGAGAGAGAGAGAGAGAGAAACACCGATGTGAGGGACACATCAATTGGTTGCCTCCCACACAAGGCTGAGGATGAACTGCAACTGAGATATGTGCCCTTGGCCGAAATTGAACTTGCAACTCTTTGGTCCACAGGCTGATGCTCTAACCTCTGAGCCAAACCAGCCAGGGCATCTACCTGCTCTTCTAATATCTGACCTTGACACTCCACCAAGTGGGGTCTATGTCCCCTCCCCTTAAATCTGTGCAGCCCAGCCGGTGTGGCTCAGTGGTCGAGCATCGACCCATGCACCAATAAGTCCGGTTCGATTTCCGGTCAAGGCACATGCCCAGGTTGTGGGTCCCAACCCCAGTGGGGGGCATGTAGGAGGCGGCCAATCGATGTTCTCGCTCATCAATGTTTTTATCTCTCTTTCCCTCTGCCTTCCTTACTCTCTAAAATCAATAAAGGAAAAAAAAAATCTGTGCAGTTGTGTGACTCACATGTAACCAATGGAATGTGGCAGAAATGACTATGGGACTCCCAGGATTAGGTAGAAAAGCCACGTAGCTTCTGCCTGGGTCACTGGAACACTGTCCATGATACCTTCAGCCACCACAGAAGCAGGCCGACTACCTGGAGGCAGCCATGTTGTGGGGAAGCACAAACTCACAAGTGTGAGGGCAGATGGAGAGGCCGGAGACAGCAGAGGGATGCTGTCCAGCCCCGGCCGCCCTGCCCCAAGCACCACTTGATTGCACCCTGAGCCAGAACCACCCAGGCAAGCTCTTCCCCACATCCTGGCCCACAGCACCCATGATAGGTAATAATGATTACTGTTCATCAATAAATTGCAGCGTCATCTGTTCTGAGCAACAGCTAGCAGACACAGCCTGCTTCTGGGGCAGCAGAGGCGAGATGACAAGTGTCCAGTGGTCACCAGTGTATCCTCATCCGACCGGTTTGGTAGCATGATCGTGGCTGGGCCATGGTTTGAGGCCAGCTGCCAGGGTTGCTGCTCACTTTCCAGTTCTGGTGCTCTGATCGCTTCCAGAATTCTGTGAGTGATCCCAAGTGCTCTCCATCCATTTCCTTTCTGCCCAGAGGCTGTTTCTGGTGCTTGAAACTAAATCTGTGATGCAGGCTTCCGGCTCTATTTCCACTGGAACACCTTCTCCTCATCTTTTCCATCTCAGCTTGGATGGCCCTTCCTCCTGCAGCCCTCCTTGACCTCCCCGGCTGGGTCAGCTGCCTGTTCTGGGCTCCCCCATCCTAACCCTGTCCACTCTGGATCACCCCTCTGGGGACAGGTCAGTCTCTTCCACCAGATTGTGAGCCCAAGGGCGTCCCGGGGCTGGGCACAGGGCAGGGGCTCAGGGGATGCGAACTGCTTTAAACCTAAGTGGAGGGAGGTTTGCTTCCATGCTGAGGTGAGAGACACTTTCTCAGCTTGATTTGGGCTGAAAGTCACTGTTAAACTGGGAGAAGGGTCCCAGAGAGGACTGAAGAGAGGGATGAGAACAGATGTGGCAAGACTAGGCACACAACTCTCAAGGAATTGTGGGGTCTTTTTGACCAGGGGACTTAGAACTTGGATGCCTGGGTCTGGTTGCATGAATTTTTTTGCTATGATGGGGAAATGGGGTTGGCTGCCTAATTCTCTGAGAACTTGAGGCTCTGGGCTCCTGGGGCTGAGGGAGGAGGCTGGGGTGCAGACTCCTGGGGCTGAGGGAGGAGGCTGGGGGTGCAGACTCCTGGGGCTGAGGGAGGGGCTGGGGGTGCAGACTCCTGGGGCTGAGGGAGGGGCTGGGGGTGCAGACTCCTGGGGCTGAGGGAGGAGGCTGGGGGTGCAGACTCCTGGGGCTGAGGGAGGGGCTGGGGGTGCAGACTCCTGGGGCTGAGGGAGGAGCTGGGGGGCAGACTCTGGGCTGAGGGAGGGGCTGGGGTGCAGACTCCTGGGGCTGAGGGAGGGGCTGGGGTGCAGACTCCTGGGGCTGAGGGAGGGCTGGGGGTGCAGACTCCTGGGGCTGAGGGAGGGGCTGGGGGTGCAGACTCCTGGGGCTGAGGGAGGGGCTGGGGGTGCAGACTCCTGGGGCTGAGGGAGGGGCTGGGGGTGCAGACTCCTGGGGCTGAGGGAGGGGCTGGGGGTGCAGACTCCTGGGGCTGAGGGAGGGGCTGGGGGTGCAGACTCCTGGGGCTGAGGGAGGGGCTGGGGTGCAGACTCCTGGGGCTGAGGGAGGAGGCTGGGGGTGCAGACTCCTGGGGCTGAGGGAGGGGCTGGGGGTGCAGACTCCTGGGGCTGAGGGAGGGGCTGGGGGTGCAGACTCCTGGGGCTGAGGGAGGGGCTGGGGGTGCAGACTCCTGGGGCTGAGGGAGGGGCTGGGGGTGCAGACTCCTGGGGCTGAGGGAGGGGCTGGGCACCTGGACTCCTGGATCCAGAGGAGCTGGGTCCCCCCTTCTTGGCCCTCTGATCCCAGACCCCGGGGGTTAATGAGGTGGGGCTCAGGGCTTGGCCCCTGCATGTTCCTGATGCCAAGCTGCCCCCTAGTGGCCGCTACGCCCTTCCTCCACACACCAGAGGACAGACCAGGCTTGGTAGTTTATTTCTGCTTCACAAACCCCTTCCAGCAGGCTCCCTTTAGCAGTAGATCTTGGTGCCCTGTGAGGCGGAAAAAGAGGTGATTCGGATAATATCAAATCCAGGTAGGGTGCGGTGGGAGGCCAAGAGAGGGAACCTCGGCAGGAGGGGGACTCACCTGGCCTCCAGGCCTGGGCAGCAACCGTGGGCCCCACAGGGGCAGCTGGAGGGGTGGATTTCCCTTCAGGAGTTTCTGTAACGGGGAGAGTTTGAAGGGGGGCTGTAACTTTCTTAGGACCAGTGTTTCCCTTCCAACCCTATGCCCTCTTCCCTCAGACCCAGGAGTCAGGGACCCCAGCTGCCCTCTCCACTTACTCTGTGGCTCCTTCCCTGGCCTGGGGCCGGAGGGTGATTTCCCATGAGGCTGAGGCTAGAGTCCTAATTCTTGGCAAAATAAGAGGGGCCCGAAGTTTGGGCAAGGCCGGAGGCTCCTGGAGAGGAGGAGATTAAGAAATGTTACAACCGAGCTGCCACTGTGCTTTATGTCACAGGCTTGGACAGAGGCAGCACAGTGGGGGGCAGGGAGGGTATGAGAGGGTCTTGTTCTAGCCCACGCTGTCTTCCCCTAACACCTCTGGCTTAAGTAGGAAGAAGTTTTAAATTGTTTGTCCATCTATCTACACACACACACCCTTCAATCCATCCACCTACCCACAAACCTATCCATCCATCATCCATCCATCTACCCATCATCCATCCATCATCCATCCATCTACCCATCCACTGATTCATTCATTCATCCACTTACACACCCTCTCTCTGTCTCTCCCTTCCCTCCTTCCTCTACTTATGCATCCATCCATCCATCCATCCATCCATCCATCCCTCTGGCCCATTCATTTATTCCAGAAATATTTCCTGAGCATCTATAGTGTGTCAAGCACTTCTCTGGTCTCTGAAGAGACGATCATGAACCACACAGACAAAAAACTCTCTTCTCTACCCTGGCTGATGTGGCTCCATGATTAGAACATTGGCCCACACACCAAAGGATCGTGGGTTTGATTCCCGGTCAAGGGCACATACCTGGGTTGCAGGTCCAATCCGCAGCCCCGGTTGGGGCTCGTGCAGGAAGCAACCAATCAATGTGTCTCTCTCACATTGATGTTTCTCTCTCCCTCTCCCTCCCTCTCCGTCTCTCTAAAAATGAATGGAAAAAAATATCCTCAGGTGAGGCTTAACAAAAAAGAAAGACTAAAAAAAGAAGCTTTCTCCTCACGGAGCTGACAGTCTACTGAGCAAGAGGCTTACCATGGGGAATCAGTGCATGAAGGAAATGTCGCAGGGTTAGATGTCCTTCAGAGACCTGGAGTAGGGGAGTGTATGTGTGTAGGTGACCAGACGTGAGGGGCGCTGGGGAAGACCTCTTGGAGGAGGGGACAATGAGCAGAAGCCTGAGAACAAGAAGGCTATGGGGCCCTGGCTGGTTTGGCTCAGCGGTTAGAGCGTCGGCCTGCGGTCCAGACAGACCCAGGTTCGGTTCCCGCTAAGGGCACGTACCTCGGTTGCAGTTTGTCCCCGGCCCTGGTTGGTCGTGCGGGTGGCAGCCACTCGATGTGTCCCTTCACGTCAATGTTTCTCTCTCTCTCTCTCTTCCTCTCTCTCCCTCCCACTCTATCTGAACAAAAAATGGAAAAATGTCCTCAGGTGAGGATAAAAAAAAAAGAAAAGAAGAAGAAGGCTATGGGGAGAGGCCCTGGGGCGGGTGTTGGACTTGCTGGCCCTGTTCAAACAGCAAGGGTCCTTGCCCTGGCCGGTTTGGCTCAGCGGTTAGAGCGTCAGCCCACGGACCAATGAGTCATGGGTTTGATTCTGGTCAAGGGCACGTACCTCGGTTGCTGTTCATCCCTGGCCCTGGTCGGGTCTTGCGAGAGGCAACCAGTCAATGTGGCTCTATCACATCGACGTTTCTCTCTGTCTCTCTCTCTGTCCTTCCCACTCTATCTGATGATAAACAGAAAAATATCCTTGGGTGAGGAATAAAAACAAAAACAAAACAGCAAGGGTCCACCGTTGCTGCAAAGGAATTGTGGGATGGTGGTAGAAGGTCATTGGAGAGACAGGGTTAGATCCTCAGGTCTTGTGGGCCCTGGAGAAGATGTTGCCTTTAATTCTTGGTGCCTTGGGGAGCTCCTGCGAGTTCGGGGTGGGGGATCTGACTCAGGTTACAGATACCCAATCTTGCTGAGCCCATACACACTTGTGGGGCCCAGGCCAGGCTGGTCCTCATTCTCCACGTGGAGACACTGAGCATGGAGAGGTCCCTAGTGGTCAGCCAGGTGCCAGGGTACTGCTGAAGGATGGTGGCACCCTCCTAGAGATGGGTTTCTCAGATCGAGACATGTGTTGTATGGGAGCATCATATGCAAACCACTGTGACCTGACCATTAACACAGCCCCACATGGCGGGAGCTGGCATCACACCCATTTTACAGACAAGGGAATCGAGGCCCACACAAGTAGAGGACGGGCTCTGGAATCTAGAGCCAGGGCCCTTGGTCTCAGTTCTGACCGTCACCCTCGAGTGGGGTGACCTTGAGATCTCTGAGCCTCAGTGTCCTCTCTGTATAACAGGGATCATAACAGTACCCATCTCACTGGGTTGTCATGACAATTAAATGAATACATTAAAAAGCAGTGCCAGGTACCGCTCAGGGGATATAGTCAATAATATTGTTATCACTTTGCATGGTGACAGATGGTCACCAGACTTTGTGTGGTCACCGCATTAAGGTATATCAGCATTGTACAGCTGAAAGTGAGACAACACTGTGTGTCAACTCTACTTTAATAAGAAATATTAAAACAAATTATTTTTCTTTATTGACTTTAGAGAGAGGGGAAGGGAGAGGGAGAGAGAGATAGAAACATCGATGAGAGAGAACATCGATTGGCTGCCTCCTGCATGCCCCACACTGGGGATCGGGCCCACAACCTGGGCAGGTGCCCTGACCGGGACTCAACTGGTGACCTCCTGGTTCATGGGTCGACGCTCAGCCACTGAGCCACACCGGCCGGACATAAGAAGTATTTTTTAACAAAGCAGTGCCAGTCATCATCAAGCAAAGTGATACACACATGAACTATTCTCGCTATGACAGTCACTTTGCTGGGAAATCACCAGGCTGTGTCTCCTGCAGTGCTTTGAAGAATGAAGGAGTAGCAGTCGCCTGGACTTTGATCAGGCAGGGTTTGGGGAGAAGAGGAAAGGGCATGCCAGGTGGGTGGAGGGCACCGCCGAGGCGGACGGGCGGCCATGTGGCCAGCAGTGCCCCTCGGCCTGCCGTTCTGGCTGTGCCCCCTCGTTGTCCTCAGGGAGCCGCCTGAGTGCCTCCTAATGTTTCCATTTGCTTTTGGCTGCAGGTCGGGATCTGTTTTTAGCTTCCCTGGCTGATCTCACCATCACCCCCCCCTCCCTTCCTGCTGGCTCTCTTGTTTGCTGTGGTTGAATAATGCTACCGGACTTCCTGCATTGTTTGTTTGAAGTCGCTGTATTGATTGAATCTGTGTGTACTCAGTCTGAGATGCTAGCAGAGATCGGAGAGCTGCCCCTCTGCAGTGTGCCAGGGTCTCGGAAAACCCTGGCGGGGAGGTGCGGGGTGGGGGGAGAGAGAGCAAGGCTGGAGCTCCCTTAGAACATAAGCAGCCGAGTATAAGGCCCCTAACTCTGGCTTTTCCTCTCCTAGGCTGTGTGGGTTTGGGCAGCTGCACTCACCTCCCTGGGCTTTTTTCCTCTGAGATATGAGTAGAGTGGGAGGGAGAGAGAGGAAGAGAGAGAGAGAGAAACATTGACGCGAAAGGGATACATCGAGTGGCTGCCTCCCGCACGACCCCAACCAGGGCTGGGGACGAATCGCAACTGAGGTACAGGCCCTTGACTGGAATCGAACCCACGACTCATTGGTCCACGGGCCGATGCTCTAACCGCTGAGCCAAACCGGCCAGGGCAGGATAGGAACATTTTTAACTTTATAGGGCTGTTGGGAAGACTCAGCTCAACTGATTCCTTCAACATCTATTTATTGCACACCTACTATGTGTCAGGGACTGTTCTGGACTCTGGTGGGACAATGAGAAGAAGGCAAAGACCTAAATCCTCAGGACAGTGACACTGCTGATGGTTACAGAAAACAATAGAGCCCTGGCCAGTTTGGCTCAGTGGTTAGAGCGTCGGCCTGCGGTCCAGAGAGACCCGGGTTCGGTTTCTGCTAAGGGCACGTACCTCGGTTACAGTTTGTCCCAGGCCCTGGTTGGGTCATGCGGGTGGCGGCCACTCGATGTGTCCCTTTCCCGTCGATGTTTCTCTCTCTCTCTCTCTCCCTCCCACTCAATCTGAACAAAAAATGGAAAAATGGCCCTGGCCGGTTTGGTTCAGCGGTTAGAGCATCGGCCTGCAGTCCTGAGAGACCCGGGTTCGGTTCCCGCTAGGGGCGCGTACCTCGGTTGCAGTTTGTCCCCAGCCCTGGTCGGTTGTGTGGGTGGCAGTCACTCGATGTGTTCCTTTCACATCGATGTTTCTCTCTCTCTCTCTCTGTTCCTCTCTCTCCCTCCCACTCTACCTGAGCAAAAAATGGAAAAATGTCCTCGGGTGAGGATAAAAAAAAAACAAAAACAGAAAATAATAGAAACCGTCCTCTCTGCCATGTGATGAAAAGAAAATGCAGCGGGCAGGAGCTTGGAAGGACCAGGGAACTGTTTTCAACAGGGTGGTCACCGAAGCTCTCCTTGAGGAGAGGATGAGAAAGTGAGCCTGGATAAAGGAGATCCAGGAACAATTCTGCAAAGGCCCTGGGGCAGGACATGCCGGGGATGCAGGGAGGAGAACCAGAAACCAGTGATGGGGAATGAGTAAGGAACAGCACGAGAGGACAGGCCTCAGAGGTGTGGATGTCGGATGACACACCACCTTGTAAACCGGTTCAGAGAAGGAGTGTGCGGCCTGGCACCCCGAGTGCCTAGCTAGACCAGGGACCCTGTGGTTTAAAGAGACCCGAGCTGCCCATCTCAGACCAGGGCCTGACTCACCACCTGCAGCTGGCCTTTACTTCTGGGATGTTCAGGCGACAGATCCAGGTGAGGGGGCAGTGGGGGAGCTGAGGGGACCACCTGGGGAGACAGAGGGTGGAGACATTCTCAGCCACATGTCCTCCTGCCTGGCGTCCCAGCGTTCAGACACTGTTCTAGACACTGGAGATACAATGGAGAATAAGACAGAGTCCTAACCCTCAGGAGGGTTCAGATTGGAGAGAGCCACAGCCCCAGACCCTCAGGGAAGCCAAAGTCCAGGCCCCTAGAACCCCAGAATCCTGTTACCAGCCCCCACCTCCCTCAGACCCTGGAGTGCAGGCCCCCAGCCTCTTCCCTCAGACCCGGGAGTCCAGGCCCCCAGCCCCTCCTCCCTCAGACCCAGGAGTCCAGGCCCCCAGCCCCTCCTCCCTCAGACCCGGGAGTGCAGGCCCCCAGCCCCTCCTCCCTCAGACCTGGAGTGCAGGCCCCCAGCCCCTCCTCCCTCAGACCTGGAGTGCAGGCCCCCAGCCCTCCTCCCTCAGACCAGGAGTCCAGGCCTCCGGCCCTCCTCCCTCAGACCAGGAGTCCAGGCCCCCAGCCCCTCCTCCCTCAGACCTGGAGTGCAGGCCCCCAGCCCTCCTCCCTCAGACCAGGAGTCCAGGCCCCCAGTCCCTCCTCCCTCAGACCTGGAGTGCAGGCCCCCAGCCCCTCCTCCCTCAGACCCAGGAGTCCAGGCCCCCAGCCCTCCCCCCTCAGACCCAGGAGTCCAGGCCCCCAGCCCTCCTCCCTCAGACCCAGGAATCCAGGCCCCCAGCCCTCCCCCCTCAGACCTGGAGTCCAGGCCCCCAGCCCCTCCTCCCTCAGACATGGAGTGCAGGCCCCCGGCCCTCCTCCCTCAGATCCAGGAGTGCAGGCCCCCGGCCCTCCTCCCTCAGATCCAGGAGTCCAGGCCCCCAGCCCTCCTTCCTCAGACCAGGAGTCCAGGCCCCCGGCCCTCTTCCCTCAGACCCAGGAATTTTAGTTTCAGCTCCTGCCTGGCCCTGCTTACCTGCCCCAGCTCCTCCTCTCTGTGCTTCTGGTCACTGCTGTTCCTTGGGTCCTCAGCAGTGGCCCTGGGTTCCACTGGCTTCGCTTGGAATTGATGGATATGCACGACATCTTGTCCCTTGATCTTGCCGCGGCAGAAGGGGCAGGTGTGGCTGTCCGATTGCTGTTGGGGTGGTGGGGAAAGGTCAGGGTCTCCCTGTTCTTCTCCAAGTCCCCTGGGTCTACAAGGGCCTTCATCTCCAGCAGAATGATGGGAGGACAGACAGAGGGAGGCCCATGGGGAGAGAGAGAGGGAGGAGGAGAGAGGGAGAAGGGGAGAAAGATGCAGGATGGGAAACAGCAACTGGACCAGAGCCCGAGGCCAGGGGGCACACAAATGGGGAGCCCAGTGGAGCCAGCGCATGGGCTCCAGCCATCGATAGTGATGCTATGGGGAGGAAGGCCCCCAGAGACATCCCCCCACCAACACCGGGGCCAGCGCTGTGGCCAGAGCAGCCTGGCGGTCCTTCTTATGGTCACAGGATACACCCCAGCGAACATCTTCAGGGAACTTGGAAGAACAAGATTGATCGCTCATATGCTGGAGGGTACGCGTCACACCCACGGCCACACAGCGAGGTCGCAGAGAGAGAAGCGGGGCGGGTGCGTGGACCTGGGCTCTGCCTTTATTAGGGGCCAAGTGGGGTGCTTAGGGTTTCATGGGTTCACTTTTTTTTTTTTTTTTTTAATCCTCATCCGAGGACATTTTTCCATTTTTTGTACAGACAGAGTGGGAGGGAGAGAGAGGAAGAGGGAGAGAAGGAAACATCGATGTGAAAGGGACACATCGAATGGCTGCCACCCGCACGACCAACCAGGGCCGGGGACAAACTGCAACCGGGGTTCGTGCCCTTAGCGGGAACCGAACCCGGGTCTCTCCGGACCGCAGGTGGACGCTCTAACCGCTGAGCCAAACTGGCCAGGGCTCATGGGTTCACTTTTTATTGGTGAATTTAAAGCACAGAAACGGCTCTGTCAGGGTGGCTCAATTGGTTGGAGAATTGCCCTGTACACAGAAAGGGTTTTGGGTTCAATTCTTGGTCAGGGCACATACCTGGGTTGCAGGTTCGATCCCTGGTTGGTGGAAATGGAGGCAACCAATTGATGTTTGTTTCTCTCTCTCAAATCAATAATTTAAAAAATATATCCTCGGGTGAGGATTAAAAAAACAATAATAGTCTGGCCTGTGTGGCTCAGTGGTTGAGCATTGACCCATGCACCAAGAGGTCGCAGGTTCAATTCCTGATCAGGGCCCATGCCCAGGTAGTGGGCCTAATCCCCAGTGGGGGGCGTGCAGGAGGCAGCCAGTCGATGTTCTCTCTCATCGGTGTTTCTATCCCTCTCTTGCTTCCTCTCTCTCTAAAATCAATAAAGGAAACAAAATAAAATAAAAAAAAACAATACCAAAGCACAGGATCGGGAATCAAGGTGAAAGGGAAAAGCATAGGTCCCTTAAGCAGATGACGCAGGGCTTTCTAAAGGTGAGGGCAGCCTTGTTCCTTATCTACTCATTTAGCTAGAAGCTGTCCTACACGTGACCATCTGTTTATTGGAGATGGATGTCTTTGAAATGGATGACTCAGCAATCAAAAGCTGAAAGTCAGGTATTTACGTCACAGTCAGAAAGCTTGAGGTCACCTGGGCCACAGCGTCCTGCCCTGGGGGGGGGCCTTTCCTGAGGGTTTCGGGGTTTGGACCCTCACGGTGGCCCTGGGAGGTTCCTGCCCTCAGCTCCCTTCTCCAGAGACTGAGGCTAAGGCTGAGAGGGGGCAGCCACCGCCCCAGATCGCCTGCCGAGGGAACCTAGGAGCTCTTTCCACGAATAATGTAGCCGGGGAAGAAGTAAAAGTGACAGATACACAGACAGGTGGGTTCCTGGCCCTTGCTCCTGAGTGACCCTGAGCCTCAGTTTCCACATCTGATCCTTGAGGGCTCAGTTGGTTGGAGCGTCGCCTGTATACCAAAAGGTTTTGGGTTCAACTCCCGATCAGGGTACATATGTAGGTGGCAGCTTCGACCCCCCCAGTTGGGGCACATATGGGATCTCTCTCTCTCTTCCTCTCCAAAAAAATAATCCTCGGTGAAGATTAAAAAAACAACAACACTGGTTTGGCTCAGCGATTAGAGCATCTGGTTCAGGGCACGTACCTCGGGCCATAGAGAGGGGAGACCGGGCAGACCCACCTGCCAGGTGTCCAGGCAGCGGCTGCACAGCAGGTGCCCACAGGGCTTGATCATCACATCCTTCTTGCTCTCTGCGCAGATCTTACAGAGCTCGAACGTGGAGTTCATGGCCCTGTACAGCTGCCGCTGCTCCTGGAAGGCGAGAAGATGGGGAGGCAGGAAGGGTGGTGACAGCCCCGGGGATACAGGTCAGGCTACAGAAAGGAAGTCCCAAACCTTGGCGCCAGCCCCAACCCTCTCCCAAGGTCCAGGCCATGTGTCTGCTGCCTCCTACAGGTACCTGGTCTTATGCGATGTGTTCTCTGGGGCGGACTGCTCTCGGGGTTGTCAGATTTAGCAACTAAAATGACAGGATGCGCCCTGGCAGGTGGCTCAGTTGGTTGGAGCGTCGCCCGTATACCAAAAGGTTTTGGGTTCAACTCCCGATCAGGGCACATATGTAGGTGGCAGGTTCGACCCCCCAGTTGGGGCACATATGGGATCTCTCTCTCTCTTCCTCTCCAAAAAAATAATCAATCCTCGGTGAGGATTAAAAAAACAACAACAGCCCTGGCCAGTTTGGCTCAGCGGTTAGAGCATCTGGTTCAGGGCACGTACCTTGGCTGTGGTTCAGTCCCCGGCCCTGGTCGAGGTCATGAGGGAGGCAGCGGAATGATGTGTCTCTCTCATGTCAATGTTTCTCCCTCTCTCTCTCTCTCTCTCCCCCTCCCCTCCCCCACCCATTCTATCTTAAGGTAAATGGAAAAATGTCCTCGGGTGAGGATTTAGAAAACAAAACAACAGCAAAAAACACTCTGTTACACCTGACTTTCAGATACACAAAAAATAACATTTTTGCTATAAGTATATCCCAAATATTGTGTGGGATATACTCCCAGTTAAAGAAATGATTTGTCATTTCTCTCCCGCCCACGGGTAAGTGTGCAGACTGCACACAGGGCTGGGGATGCTCAAGCGCACTCCCCGCTCTGATGACCTTGGGAGTGTCACTCCCCGGTTTAATCCCCATGAAAACCCCTGGGGAAGAGGCAGGAGGAGCTGTATTTTCCAGAGAAGGAACAGAGGCCGAGTGATTCACCTCAGGTGACATGGCCATCATGGCAGCACAAACCCCTGGGGATGCCAGGGCCTGACTCGGTGTGAAGGAATTCCTGAGCCGAGTGTGGGTGCGGGGTGGGGGGGCGGGAGCAGGGCAGGGCCAGGGGAGAGGGGGCACAGGCCCAGGCTTCACCTCTGACACATGGATGTATTCATGGGACTCTAGGTGGCAGAGCTCAGTCAGGTCTGGGTTGTGGTTCTTCCCATCTGGGTAGAGGTAGCTGCAGGAGGGAAGAGAGGGCTACGAAGGGGGCCCCGCCTGCCCCCCCCCACTAACAACGACTCCCCCACCCCCATCACGGGGCCCAGAGCTCCTGAATGAGCAGTTGCTCCAAATCTCTTGCTGGCCTGGGGATATTTTTCTCCCTCTGTCCTCAAATTGACACTCTCTAGGGCAAGCTGTGTCCCCTCAAACCACTAGGGCAGGGCCATGTCTCCTCAGACCCCCACAGATGGGTACTCGTAACCTAGGTGACTCAAGCTCTGGGAACATGGATCAAGATGAATGAGAACCAGGAAAGTGATCAAAATCCAGGCCTTGTCCTCCCAGAATGTCGCCTGAGCATGACAGCATCTCAGTCACAGATTCCTGGAGCGACCAAAACCTAGAGTCTTAGACTGGTGTGGCTACAAGGACCCTCCTGGACACCTAAGCTACTTCTTGCTTCATAGCTGGTGACCGAGACCCAGTGAGGGAGAGGCGACTGCCCAGGCCACACAGAGACAGAGGGACGCGGGCCAGGGCTGCGGGCAGGTCCGAGCACTGGGCTCCAGCACAGCCGAGAAGAAGGCTTGGCACCCTGTGGGTCTCTCACCCAGGTCACAGCTGCACCTTTAGACCAACAATGGGGTCAGAAGTCCCCTGAAGCTGATGGCTCTGTCTGAGCTGGGCCCACACACAGGGGCGGCTCTCCCACAAACACACTGTGTGTCCTGGGCTGGGCAACTTTCCCTCTCTGGCCTCAGTTTTTCCTCCTGTCAAATGGACCTAATCACGCTTAGGGTAAAAATGGGTGGTAAGGATGAAATAAGACAGTGCTCACGAAACAGCAGCACCCTCCTCCGCACGTAAGCGCCCAATAAGAGGGAACAGCTAGGATCAGGGTCAGACCCGGGAAGCCGCCTCGCTGTGGGGTGGACGGAGCTGGTGTCCCCTCCCCTCGCAGGGCTTTGCTTTTCCCAACTATGAAGTGGTGGTGGTGGTGATGGTGTGTGTGTGTGTGTGTGTGTGTGTGTGTGTGGCAGGAAGCTTAAACCTGTTCACACTTACTTTAACTCTGGAGTGCTCTTCTCCAGGAGATCTGACCTGGAACTCAGGGCATTATAGTGGGGAAGGGCCCATATCTTGAGCCTAGCTCTCTGGCTTCAATCCCCGCTCGGCAGCTCAGTAGCTGTGTGAAGTGGGTGAGTGGTTCTGACTCTCTGTGCCTCAGTTTCCTCGGTTGTCAAAGAGCAATATAATATGTGTGTCTGTGTGTGTGTATATATATATATACACACACACAGACACACACAATAGATTTTTATTATTCATGGATTCTGTATTGGCAAATTTACCTGTGCGTTCAAATGTATTTATAATCCCCAAGTCAATATCCCTGGGACTTCGGTGATCGTTCAATGATATGCTCACAGTGGCAAAAAATATGAGGAGCCCAACACGGATGGTGCCAGGTGGGGATGAACGAGGCCACACGTGGCCACCTTGTTCCAAACTCTCATACTGTAAACCCGTGTCCTTTTTGCTGTCTATTTATGTCACGCTTCTCACATTTTGGGTGATTTTGCTGTTTAAAATGCCCCAGGCACAGTTTAAAGTTGGCTGTGTGTTCAGTGTTAATGAATCAATAATTTATATTACATAAGGTGTCTTTAAACAGAAACACACAGCCCTGACCGGTTTGGCTCAGCGGTTAGAGCGTTGGCCTGCGGTCCAAAGAGACCTGGGTTCGGTTCCCGCTAAGGGCACGTACCTCGGTGGCAGTTTGTCCCTGGCTCTGATTGGTCGTGCGGGTGGTAGTCACTCGATGTGTCCCTTTCACATCGATGTTTCTCTCTCTCTTTCTCTCTCTCTCTCGCTCTCTTCCTCTCTCCCCCTCCCACTCTATCTGAACAAAAAAAAATGGAAAAATGTCCTCGGGTGAGGATTACAAAATAAAAATAAAAAAAGAAAATAAATAATTAAACAGAAACACACAGAAAGGTTACAGAAATGTGACCAGTAGTCTTGCAGCAGCCTGACCTTGTACTTCCCAGGGAGCAAGGGCTCAGTGTTCTTAACCCAGTGAGACTTTGTAGGACAGAACCACCGCGGGTAAGGAGAACCGGCTGCACAGTTATGTATCTCCTATTGTATCATACACGTATGACTGCCAAGGAGGCTCTGGTTAAAGGTCCAGGGTGGAGCTTGGGAACCTCACCTACCATTCCCCCCTCCTTTCCTACCCAAGGCAGCTTCTCAGAGAGAGGGGCTGCCAGTCTTACGGAAGGAAAACCACCAGCCCAGCTGTTTGCCCAGTTCTCCTTCTGCTCTATCAGTCTGGATTCCAGAACGCGATATGGATACCCAGAACCAAAAGCTCGGAGGGAAATTGCAAGGAATGGAGCCACACATGGGTTGTGCTCAACTCTTCACTCCCTTCTGGGAACTGCTGCTGGCCCAGCTTTGTGGAACTAGAAAAGGTGCTCCTTTCTCAAGACCCTCATCTGCCACCTGCTGGAACACTGCAGTATTGCAAGTTTGTGATGTCCCCTGTGCGAAGTGCAGTCGGCAGACCCTCACCCCTCCAGGATGGGGACTCACAAGCCTTCCTTTTGTCCTTCCAGGAGTGCCTTGCACAGGGTTTTGTTCTGAGGGATGGTCTGCCGGATATTGCCATCTGAGGTCACGTGTCCGATGGCCCACTGTCCCGGGCGAGTGCAGCTGGGTCGGAAGATGTAGCTGGAGGAACACACAGGGAAGTTGCGGGTGGAGAGAGTAGTCACCACTGTCCCTTCTGGGACAACAGTCCCTTACATTGTTGGGGATCCAGTGTCTAAGTCTTCACTAAGGTGGTAGGGTATACAGCTGGGGATTCTAGAATCCATCAGCAGAGCCCATGTCTGAACGAAGCTAACACAGATGAAAGCAGAGACGGCATGAATAGGACTTGATTCTTGATTATCGCATGTGAGCACCTGGATCCAGCTCTGCCTGAAGCCTGAAAAAAACACCTGGTCTCTTCAATTATGTGTTAATTCATCCCTTTTTCTTTCCCTTTAAACCAGTTTGCAGTGTAACTGGAAAAGTGCTAATACACTTGCTGTCCTGGGGGTCCTGCCCCCCAGCACTGCGAAGAAGACTCATGAATCTGACCTCCTATTCCCTTGACTTCTTGGTGTTCCAGGGAGCTCAGCCCCTCAACTCTTGTTTTTTATTTTTTTTTATTTCTTTTTCTTTATTGATTTTAGAGAGAAAGGAAGGGAGAGGGAGAGAGAGATAGAAACATCGATGAGAGAGAACATCAATTGGCTGCCTCCTGCATGCCCCCCACTGGGGATCGGGCCCACAACCTGGGCATGTGCCCTGACTGGGAATCGAACCAGTGACCTCTGGGTGCATGGGTTGATGCTCAACCATTGAGCCACACCGGCTGGGCAGTCCCTCCATTCTTAACCCTCTGCAGGAACCCAACAGCTCAAAGTTCCTGGCTTGAAATAATTTCAGGACTCAGGTGTCTGGTTCCCAGTCTCCTACCCTAGCAAGAGTGAGAATTGCCATGAAAATATTTAATAAATGGTACAGCGTGGGCTCTGATCTATCAGAAACAGAACTTATCTTGGAGCGGGGTTTCCAAGCCCCTTGCCAGACCAGGTATTGTCCCCTTAGCTCCTGGCTTGTGGGAAGGCCCAGAAGATCTTAGGAGAAGAGGCGAGGTGGTGGGGCGCACTCAACGTCCTACCTCTGAGTTTTCTACTCTCTGGGATCTCTGGCACCTCAGTTCTTCAGTTCTTGTTATCTATGAAGGGTGTCTGGGTTTCTACTACCCCTCAGCCCAGAACCAAGAGCCCAGACCCCTTGGCAGCCTCCCCCTCCTGAGGCCCGCCCTTTACCTGCCTGGCTTGTCCCTGCAGGCCTGCAGACGTTCTCGGACCTCGTCGTAGGTGAGGAAGGCCATGTAGCCCGGGTGATTAACCGCCAGAAGCTGCCAGTTCTTGAGGAGTGTTGGCCATGGCTGGAGAGGGTGATGCGTGGGTCAGGGATGGGCCAATGGAACAGCCCCCTCTCTGAGTGCTTCCTAGGGTCCAAGAACCTAGCCACCTTGCTCATACCACAGTGGGCCTCAGGAATCTCTCTTTTACACAAAAGACTCCAGACTCTTATTCCCCAGGACCCAGGAGTCCAGGCCCCCAGCCCCCTCCACCCACAGGACCCAAGTCTGGGCCCCCAGCCTTGCCTTCCCTGACCTGGAAGAGTCTGGTGAAGATGTCAAATTCGAAGATGGACACGTGGCCACTGCAGGTGAGGTCGATGGTGGAGCGCAAGGCGAGGGCGGCGGGGCCTGACTCCATGGGGTGGCAGGCGTACAGGAGAGACTCAAACTCAGCCCAGGGCAGCACACACCTGGGTAGAGGGGTGCCAGAGGGGTACAGGTGAGGCCTTTGGGAGCCTAGGATGGAGGACATCTAGGAAGGAAGCAGCTGGGGCCTGGACTTCAGGGTCCGAGGGAGGAAGGGCTGGGGACCAGGACTCCTGGGTCCCCTGGCAGGGGCAGGATGCGGCTCCAGAGGCTCCTGGGACAGATGCTCACTCACCGGGCTCCACAGTGCTCTCTCCAGAAGGTGTGGGCTTCAGTCTTGGTGAGCTGGTATGTGTGTCCACAGTACTGTCCCCCAGGGAACAGTGCGTTCAGCTCCGAGTACATGTGGCTGAAGATAAGGGCCAGCTTGGCCAGCTGTCGCCTGTGGGGATAGGCTCTGAGCATCTGGCCGAACCATGGGGTTCCGACACCTCCACCCTCTGCGGTGAACACCCAGGGGCCCCAGACTTTCTGATACTGCGGTGCAGGGCAAAGTCTATTCCTACACGGTCTGCTGCAGCCCTGACACCTCCCCTCTCAGAGCCTCAGTTTCATCCTCTGGGAAGGAAAGGAGGTGCGGCCAGTATCCTCATCCTCCTGTGCACAGATCCTAGGCTCCGCCTGCAGCCACGGGGCCCAGAGGAGAAGCCTCACCCAGAGGAGAAGCCGCACCTCGCGGGCCGGGCCGCAGGGACCGCTGGCGCTGAGGGCATTCGGGGTGTCTGTGTGCAGGTCGTGCTCCGAGCCTGCCTCTAGTTTGAGCAGCACTGGGTGGTGGCCTGGGCTTTCTCCTGCCCGCTGCCTCCCTGAGGTACTACTCGGGATGTGGGAAGCAGCAGAGGGTAGCTCTGATGCTCAGCTCTGTAATTTTTGGCAAGTTCATTTATTCCCCCCTAAGCCTCAGTTTCCCCGACTGTGAAATGGGCATAAGTACAGTCCCTCTCTCAGAGGGGGAGTGACAAGGATTCTTACAAGCACACAAAATGCCCAGCACACCTAGCATACAGTTGAGACTCAGTGCACATTATTATTTTTTGTTAATCCTCAACGGAGGATATTTTTTCCATTGAATTTTAGAGAGAGTGGAAGGGAGGGAGGGAGGGAGGAGGAGAGGGACACATTGATTGGTTGCCTCTTACATGTGCTCCAGACAGGGTGGGGATCAAACCTGCAACCCAGGTTTATACCCTTGGCTGGGAATTGAACCTATGACTCTGGTGTACAGGCTGATGCTCTAACCATTGAGAACACCGGCCAGGGCCCTTATTTTATTTTTTAAAAATATGTTTTTATTGATTTTCTTTTTTTTAGAGCGAGAGAGACAGACAGAAACATCCAAACATCCATGAGAGAGAAACATGATTGGCTGCCTCCTGCACGCCCCCTACTGGGGATTTGCCCTGATCAGAATCCAACCCCATGACCTCTTGGTGCCTGAGTGGACGCTCAACCACTGAGCCACACCGGCTGGTGAAGGGGCTCTTATTTTATATTAATAACCTCCTTGGACCAGTCTGTAGGATTCCTGATACCTTCTACAGGGCCACCCCTGACGATTTCTAAGCAGCCTTTCTTCCCAGAGTCTAATATGCAGCCATTATTCACCTGCGGCTGGTCCAATTGAGAAATTGGACCAGCTCCAAATGGGAAATATAAGGTCTCAGAAACAGTGCAAAAGAAATAAAAACGTGAATGATCTCATTAATCATGGCTTTATATTGATTACAAGTTAAGATGATAATATTTTGGATATTGTGAATACTATGTCTACTAGAAAGTGAAAACCTACACGTGTGGCTTGCATTAGGTTTTAGTGGAGAGTGCTGGGCTAGAATTTCCTTCAAATAGTGGCCAGGCCCCTGGTGGCTCTAAACACCCACTTAGACTCTCACTAAGCCTCCAAGCTTCCTAGTTTCTAGAACCCATTGAATCTAGAACAGTGGTTCTCAGAGGTGTTATACCGCCCCCCAGTGAGCTTCTAGGGGACCTGGACTCCTGGTCTGAGGGAGGAGGGGCCAGGGGTCTGCACTCCTGGGTCTGAGGGAGGAGGGGCTGGGGGCCTGGACTCCTGGGTCTGAGGGAGGAGGGCTGGGGGCCTGGACTCCCGGGTCTGAGGGAGGAGGGCTGGGGGCCTGGACTCCCGGGTCTGAGGGAGGAAGGTGGGGGTATGACCTGGGCCTCCCTGGTGACCCCACCTTTATCGGGGGTGGGGCGACAAGGACTACTCACCTGAGTATGGATCCCTCTCGGAACAGCTCGTCCTTGGCACATTTTTGGCCCCGGGGTGGCAGGAGTGCTGCCACCTGCCTGCTCTTGGCCTCCAGGTTGGAGAGGTAGATGGTGAGAAATTCCTCGGCACCCCCGGGACTCTCGGGACCGCCTCTGCCGGCCGCCCGCCGGGCGTGGGCCACCGCTTGCAGCAGCTTCGCGGTGTTGGGCAACAAGTCCCGCAGCGACGGGGGACCCGAGGTGAGCCGGGGGTCCCCGCATTGCTCCTCCAGGCGTTGCAGCAGCTTCACCGCCCGGCCTAGCGAGCGGGACTCTCCCCAGTGCCACCCCCGTGGGGACGCAGCCGCAGCCATGGGTTGCTCGGGTGCCTTGGGAGGGACGGGCGCTGCGGTGAGAGGCGCGGCCCTGCCCAGATCAGGTGAGGGCGGGCCCTGGAGAACCGAGGAGGGGACAGCAGGTACCAGCTTCCCCAAAGAGGGCGGGGTCCGCGGCTCTGGCACCTGGGTTCCCTCGAGATAGTGTTCGGAAGTTTGATCCCCAAAGGCCAGCCGATAGGGTGGCTTCGGTGGCTGTTGGTAGGAAGTGATTCCTGAGTGGGAGGGAGTTGCGGGAAGGGTGCCTGAGCCCCAAGGTTGAAGTGGAGGAGGGGCGGGTGGGGAGACCCGGACTTCTGCTGGGGGCGGGGGTAGGTCTGGGTCCTATCTGGACTCTGCAGGGAGATGGGGCTGGGACGTAGCACTCCTGGGTCAGGTGAAGGTTTCGATCGTGGCATGGGATTAAAGGTCTATGAGCTGAACTTCCTAGGAGGAAAGGTCAGGGAGCTAGTGCGATCCCTGTGTGTCCGAGAAGGAAGACAGCGCGGTCAGACCCCTGAGTCCCTCAGGAGCAGGGTTTGGGTGGAAGGTGTCTGAGTGAGCAAGAATTTGGCGACTTAATTCCTGGGTTCCTACGGGCCTGCGGGAAACCAGGCTGTTCCGCGCCGGGGGCGTGGTTTTCTCCGGAACCTGCGCTACCGGTGGCAGGTGCCCAGTCCCGGCGGAGCGCGGCGCGGCCACCGGGGGCGCTGTGGCGCTGCCGTCTCTCCGCCCCCCGCTCCAGGCCACGCCCCTGGACGTGCAGGCGGACACCTGCTCGTGCACGAGTTCCCATCGCGGACGGGCACCTACCTAGAGAATTTCCAATCAGAGAATAACAGTAATGGCTAGCATGGATTGAACACTCACTGTCGAGACCTGTACGTCAAACATTACATTTTCTCACTGAATTTTCAAAATTCCTTTGAGGGGGAGGGCGGGGGAGAGAGTTTAGAATGAGAGTTCAGGCCCCACCCCCATCTCTTAGAACCCGAGAATCATTAACTGGAGGAATGTTGGACATGGCACCTTAGACTAAGTGGAGACGGGGTCTTTGTACTCAGGATGGCCGGGTCGGCCTCCCAGGTCCTTGCGTTGCTGCCCTCTCTGGATCGACCTCAGTTTCCCCCTCCAGAAAATAGGAAACTTTTTTACTCTGCCAAGTGTTGACGAAGAGCTGATGGAAGTGGAAACGGACAAATTACATTGGCGAGCACTTTGGTAGGATCCATCAGACCTTTGACAGGGCAAGCCTGTGGCTCCTTCACGGATGCGGCTTGTAAACACTTTTGCTCGCATCGGGATATTATGCACCCGAAACAGTTGCCCAGGGTAACTTACCCCGACTAGGAGCATGTACTCTACTATCTTCCATTCTGTGTAATTCCATTTCATTAAAGGGAAAGTTACTTGCACAACCCACTAAATTGATTTCACAACCCACTAATGGACCTTGTTGGGCAGACTGAAAACTATTGACCTAAGAAACTCCAAGAGACGTGTTCCAGGATGTTAATTGCAGCCTTGTAGGAAATGGAGAAAACTGGAAACAAGGTAGGTGTCCATCACCAGGAGAAAGGATGAATAAATTGTGATATAGTCTCACAAAACACTCCCACACAGTTCAAATGAATGAACTGGACACACATACTGAAAGCATGAATTGTAAAAACAATGATGAGTGTACTAGGTTGAATAGTGCCCCAACCCCACCCATTCATGTCCTCTGTAAATGTGACCTTATTTAGAAATAGAGGTTTTGCAGGTGTAACCAAATTTAGATGAGGTCATGCTGAATCATGGTAGATCTAAACCCAATATGACTGGACATTTGGACACAGACTCAGGTACATTCACAGGGAGAAAACCAGGTGATGATGATGATGGAGACAGACGTTGGAATGATGGGTTTATAAGCCACGGAATGCCACGGATTGCCAGCAGACACCAGGAGCTAGGAAGAGGCCAGGGAGGATTCTCCCCTAGAGCCTTCAGAAGGAGCATAGCCCTGCTCACAACTTGAGTTTGGGTTCCGAGTCTCCAGAATTGTGAGGGCACACATTTCTGTTGTTTAAGTCACTCAGTTTGTGGTCCTTTGCTACAGCAGACCTACGAAACTAATACATGGGGGGGGGGGGGGGGCAAGTGTAGAAGAATGAACACAGCACGATGTCATTTATACCAAGTTTGAAAACCTGCAAACCAATGCCTTCAATTATCTGGGGGCACGTATGTATGACAGTAGTATGACAATGTGTGTGGGAAGGCTGAGCATTCAGTGCAGGGTATGGAGAGGAAAGAGGATGGACTCAGAGGGTACACTGGGACTTCAACAACATCATTCGTGCTGTAATTTAAAAAATCTGAATCAAATGTGGCAAAATGGTTAACAGTTCATATGGTTGCATAGTGGATACAAAAGAAGTGTGTGATAGGAAAAGATACTTAGCATCATCCGTTAGGGAAATACTAATCCAAACCACAGTGAGACCCCACGTCACACCCACTAGGGGAGGCTATAATAAAAAAGACAGTCAATAATAAGTATTGGAGAGGCTGTGGAGAAGCTGGAATCCTGACACACTGCTGGTGAGAATGTAAAACGGTGCAGCTGCTTTGGAAACCAGTCTGGTGGTTCCTCAGAAGGTGGAACAGAGAATTGCCATCTGACCCAGCCATCCCACTCCTGTGCATATATATCCTAGAAAACAGAAAACATATCCACACAAAGATGTGTGAAAACTCCTAACTCTTCATCAACTGATAAATAGATAAATTAAATGCAGTACACCCATACAGTGGAATATTATTCAGCCATTAAAATGAATGGATTACTGCCTGGCCGGCGTGGCTCAGTGGATTGAGCCATGGACTGAGAAGTCCCAGTTTGATTCCCAGTCAGGGCACATGCCCCGGCTGTGGGCTGGATCCCCAGTGGGGGGCGTGCAGGAGGCAGCCAATTGATGTTTCTCTCTCACATCACCGTTTCTCTCTCTCTCTAAAAAATCAATAAAAACATTAAAAAAATAAATTACAAATAACATACTAAAATGTGAATGAACCTCAAATACATTATGCTAAGTGAAAGAAGCCAGTCATGAAAGACCACATGCTGTATGATTCAATTTATATAAAATGTCCAGAATAGGCAAATCTATAGCAACAGAAAGTATATTCAGGGTTGCCTAAGGCTGAAAGGGGCTGGGTTAAGAAATGTTTTAAAATTGACTGTGGTGATGATCGCACAACTCTTTGATCTTACTAAAATCATTGAATTGTACACCTTAAATAGTTAAATTGCTGGGTATATGGACAATCTCAATAACACTGTTTCAAAAAAGGACAGGCCAGGACCTGACCGGGTGGCTCATTTTGTTGAAACGTTGTCCCATACAACAAAAGGTTGTGGATTCGATTCCCAGTCAGAGCACATACTAGGTTGCAGTTCTATCCTGGGTCTGGGTGCGGGTGGGAGGCAATTGCAACAAATCAACGTTTCTCTCTCACATCGACGTTTCCCTCTCTCTCTCCCTCTCAAATCAATAAAAACATATCCTCGCGTGAGGTTTAAAATAATATATATGTATGTGTGTGTGTATATATACACACACATATATGTATATATATATTTATATTTTTGTATAAATACTGCATATATATACGTATATATATATATACAGTATATATACAAAAATAATAACCCTGGCTGGTTTGGCTCAGCGGTTAGAGCGTTGGCCTGTGGACCAGAGAGTCCTGGGTTCAGTTCCCACTAAGGGCACGTATCTTGGTTGCAGTTTGTCCCTGCCGGGGTTGGATTGCGTGGGTGGCTACCACTCCATGTGTCCCTTTCACGTCGATGTTGCTCTCTCTCTCTTCCTCCCTCTCTCCCTCTTGCTCTGTCTGAAGATAAATGCAAAAATGTCCTCGGGTGAGGATTACAAATAATAATAATAATAATAATAAAGCTGCAAATAAAAAGGGGGTAGGAAAATATGATACCCAACAATCTACGACCACTTCTATATTCAGGCCTCTCTTCTGGAGGATAGAAAGGGGAGAGGCACTCAAATGTATACAGTGTTTGTCAAAGAATGTGTATAAATAAATTTTCCCTGGCCGGTTTGGCTCAGCGGTTGGAGCGTCGGCCTGCGGACCAGAGTCCTGGGTTCGGTTCCCGCTAGGGGCACGTACCAAAAAATAAAATAAATAATAAATAAATAAAAATAAATTAATTTAATTTAATTTTAAAAGGCAGGCCAAACCCCACAGTAGCCGCAAGAGGGCGCTCTAAGTACAGACTTAATTCCTCCCTTGGGAACGGAGTTTCTCAGGCCTTGACCCACGCTCTAGCCATGACCCAAACTCTAGCCACACTTCTGAGAATCTGGCCACACCCCGAGGTTCTGAACTCCCCGCAGGATATGGCCTGCCCCTCATTCCAACCACGCCTCTGAGACTCTGGCCACACCCCAGGTCCATGGTCACATCCCAAGGCAGTGTCTATTGAATTTTTTTTTATCCTCGCCCAAGGACATTTTTTGATATTTTGTTCAGATAGAGTGGGGGGGGGGGTGAGAGAGAGAGAGAGAAAGAGAAACATTGACGTGGAAGGGACACATCGAGTGGCTGCCACCCACACAACCCAACCAGGGCTGGGGACAAACTGCAACCGAGGTACGTGCCCTTAGCGGGAACCGAACCCAGGTCTCTCTGGACCGTAGGCTGACGCTCTAACCACTCAGCCAAACCAGCCAGGATTACCCAAGGTAGTGTCTAAAACAGCAAATTCACCCTCCCAGCGCCCCAAACTGACCACAGGTGCAAGCACAGACTGGATACTCTCAGAAACACAGAGCCTTAGAACCATTACTTTTAATTTGCAATCATTTTTTTCGAATCATTTTAAACTTACAGAAAAATTGCAAGAATAAGACCAAGGCTTCTGTATACCCTTCATCCACGTTCATCAATTGTTAAGTTTGCCTATTTGCTTTACCACC